TACGAAAGCCATAAGGGCTCAAAATGATGTACGACATTGAGGTGAGTTAATAGTACCAATTTCCAGGTATAATTACAGTTGACATCCTCACACTTATGGGATATAAAATCCATTCAACTATTTCAGTATGTCTGTCTAATTAAGTGGAAAGATTAAAAACACATTTCTGAAATACACCGAAACTTTTCTTTTAAACTCTGCCAGAAATTGATGTATACACAGTAAAATGTATTATAAGTGAAATCTACTGATGATGATTTAAAATAACCATTTTCTGAATCATTTCACGAATTGCTCAATAATATGCGATGATGGTGATTACTGAAAAAATATGTAAAACGTTCTCTTCATGCTTCAGAATAGTCAAGAATGTAACATTAACACCCACTAGGCTATAAATATCGGCGTTACGTTAAGATAAGAAGCTCAACAGTCAGACCCGAGAGTGGAACCCGAATGCGAAACAGAGGAGATGAAAGCTTATGGTTTGTCATGGAGCTAGCTAAAAACAACGGAGTGAAGTGAAGGTGTGCTGCTGAACCCAAGAGAATATTAGTAATAATAATATAACTGTCTCCTAACCAAATTTTGTTGCATAGTATTGCTTGACGCGGGAGACAATGGTTTGTCATGCGTAATACTTCTCCTAGATATCTCAATCAACGCAGCAGTATCACAACTTTATCGTTTAGCTACCCCCTCCTTACCAAATAATATATATATATATATATATATGTATAACCTCAGTATTACTCATATAACATTATATTGTGGTGAGAGCTGTCTACTAGCCAAATTGGTAGACAGTAATTTACGTCAATGTTTACGTTCTCAAGATTTGTCGTGAGAAAATATGAACAAAGACTGATTCAAAAAACCGACCACAGCAGACTTTGCGTAGGCGGATACAGTTAACATATAGATGATGTGACATTCAAGAAACAGTCAAAAAGAGATGAAAGACTAACTTTAAGTGAGAAACAACTAATCAGAAGACTATGTTTGTTTGCTTAACTAATCTATAATAATGGACGTGAAAATATATAAATATGCTTTGACTTCCTTAATAAACGATCTGTTGCCTGGCCCCTGTCTTCTGTTGTTACATTTGGTGTCGTTGTCTGTCGCGAAATGAAAGTCCCATGGCCTGCAGCTTTTGAAGAAGGAGACATATGGATCTTCTTGAGGGACTTCGAAGCTATTGCAGAGTTGAATGGCGTGCAAGAGCCATCAGTGAAGACGCTTTTACTTGGAACGCTACTCAGAGGCCGGGCGAAGGCAGCATATGATAGTGTGAGGCAAACAGAGGGGCAAGCAACTTGGAAGTCAGTGGTTGAACGCCTGAAGCAGGAGTTTGACAGCCCGATGAACAGAGAGCGGGCAATGCAGCAGTTTGGCACCATGAGGCTGGGAGTTGACGGTGATCCTCTCGTATTGGCGCTGACCTTGACAAGCCTACTTCGTCGCGCTCTACCAACACTGGACGAAGATTCTGAGGCACAAATGTTGGCGTCCCGGTTTATGGAGAGTGTTCCAGAACATATATCTCAAAAGCTACATCTAGTTAACGCCGTACAGCCACTGGAAATCGAGGAGCTTGCGGTGACCAGACAACTGTTAAGCAAGACGGTTGCAGCGGTAGAGCCACCAAAATCCGAGCAGTGTGAGAAACGAATCGAAGAGTTGCAACGTGAAGTGGCCGCGCTGAGACTGAACGTTGGTATGGTAGATTAACGCATAAGCAAACATTAATCCTAAGCGGAGGAGTCAGTAACCAAACACACACACATTTATGCACTCTAAGGAGACCGTCGGACGACATTGCGCGCCAGGCCCTCAAGTGGAATCCAAATGGGAAGCGACGAATGGGTCGTCAGTGCTAGGGTGACATGGAGGTCGTACGGGGAGATGATGAGAGATAATGGAGAACAGAGAACCCAGCTGAAGAGGATAGCAGAAAACAGAACAAAGTAGAGATGTGTTGTGAAGCCCTACGTTCCATTCGGAACCCAAGGGAATAATAATAATAATATAAGTGATATGCTCTTTCCACTGGCAGTTTGCTTAAATCACTGGGCTACAAGAATTCTCATCCATCAAAATGCTTAAACTCTTTTGCATTTCTTATTGTTTAAATCATGCAATGACTAATGTAAATGACCAGTGCATTAAATCACGCACATATCTAATTAGCTTCCAACTAATCGCTGTGCAATTCTTGAAGGAAATAAAGAAAAAGCCTACAGATTTGGTTCATGCTTCATATGGTGCGACGCTATGTCACATGATATATTTCAGATTATTACTTTACATTTAAATCCTCTATGAAGAGGAAACATTTTGGAACCAAATACGCTGAAAAATTCTGTACTATGTGTTCACATATTACCTGAAAAATAAAGCTTCATTATCATTATTGTACAGCCCAAGCAAAATATTACGTTGTGTCATTGGGGAGAAACTTAAAGAGACAGCGGATGCAGAATTCCGACATGAACAAGATGGATTTATGGAAAGTAAATAATATAATGATCAAATCGCAACTCTACTTATCATTATCGAACAGAGCGTTGAATTTCAGTCAAATCTGTCTCAACTTCATCGACTTTGAAAAGGCATTCAACAGCGTTCACTCCTAAGTAAGTTAAAAACTAATTTAACGCAATGGATTACCACAAATGTCTATCGACCTCATTCAATGGCTATATGACAATGTCACATGTCAGGTTATCCACAACGGAAAAACTCAGCAAAGCTTTTGAAGTGAATACAGTATTTAGACAAAGGTGACTACTTTCACTGATAATCATCCTAACTATGGTGGATTGGACAATGCAGGAAGATGTGAATCGGAGCAAGAAGACAGGATTACGTCGAACCCGACAAGAACACTATAGATGATCTGGATTTAAGTCTAATGTCACATTAACTTGTAGAATTACAGGAGAAAACCGACAAGTTAACATAAGAAGCAATAAAAACATGGTTTCAAGTATACATAGAGAAGACGGAGGTGATTAAGATATCAAACCAACAACAAAATCAAGCACTGAACAATATCGACAGCACGGATGAGGATGTCACAACATGAATAGGAAAGGTAAGGTACATCTACATTACTCTGAAATCAGTTTGGAAATCTTCTGCAGTCAGCATAAAGAACAAGATTCGGATTTTCAATACCAAAGTTAAGTCAATTCTTCTGTATGGCTCAGAAACTTGGCCAGCGCGTCACGAAAAGCACTTCCAACAGGCTATTGAAGACTTTTTTTAGAAGCTGCCTTTGGTGGCTAGAAAGAATTAACATCCAGAAACTCTGGCAACAAACAAATCAAGAACTTATTGATCAAGAAATATCCCGAAGAAAGTGGATATGGATCGGACACACGTTGAAGGGACAGTTGGGTGAAATCGCGCACCAGATCACCATTCAAGTGGAACCCAGATGAGAAACAATGAGTGGGACGTCTGAGGGTGATATGGAGGAGACCGCGTTAAGATACGAGAGACTATGGGAAGTCGTGAGGGGTCAGCTCAAGAGGACCTCAGAGAATAGCACAAAGTGAAGATGTGCTGTTGAAGCCCTATGTTCCACTCAGAACCCAAAGGAATTATAAAGATAAATAGATGATAATAAAAAATTGATTAACCTAGGGATTTATAGACAGTGAATGCATCTGCACATCTGAGTCATACCACTAAGTCGCTAGCCATCAGTTCTTATTGTCTTGAGGACCCTAGCTACGCAGTCTACATAAGCGTACGCGACTGACCCAAATGAACAGTCAAAGACTTTTTTGGATTTTGATCCCATATTTGGATTTAATCACCCTTAACATTAATGATATTGATTATTGTGGGCTAGATTACGCAAAAGACAGTGATATATGCATACATTGGATCGACGAAAAGACCCTAGAAAATCTGAACTTCACGGATGATTTATATCTAATATCAAACGAATTCGAAGAAGTACAGGCGAGAAACGCGAAGCTGACACAAGAGGCAGCAAAGACAAGACTTCAAGTGAATACAAAGGAGACAGAAGTGATGAAGATGTCCAACAGTGACAGTAACAAGCATCATTCACTATCAACGGGGAAAATTTTAAGGAAGTCACTTTTTTCTGTTATCTGACCTGGACAGCATCGTGTCAGCTACAGGTGGCGTAGATGAGGATGTCAATATCAGCACAAGAAAAAGATAACAGACCTTCATTAGTGTGGAGATCTACAGAACTCAACAAAAGGAACAAGATTCAGATCTTCTCAGTGGTTCAGAGGCTTGACGAATGCGTCACTTTGATCAACAGCTGTCTCCATACCGAAGATATAGTAATCAGCCAGAAGTGATAATAACAAGGAACTCTGGGAACGAACTAACCAAGAACCTGTCACCTAACAAATGTTAATGAATAGGATTGGATATATGAGCTAAGACCGTTGAGCAACACTGTGCTACAGTCAGACCCGATAGTGGAAACCGAATGCGAAGCGATTTGGTCGTCCGAGTGTGGCATGGAGGAGATGAAAGCTTACGATTAGTCGTGGAGCTAGCTAAAAAGAACAGAGTGAAGTGGAGGTGTGCTGCTGAACCCAAGAGAATAATGGTGATAATAATAAAACTGTCTCCTAACCAAATTTTATGTTGCATAGCATTGCTTGACGTGGGAGACAATGGTTTGTCATGCGTAATACTTTTCCTAGCTATCTCAATCGATGCATCAGTATCACAACTTCATTGTTTAACTTCCTCTCCTTACTAAATATTGTATATATATAACCTTAGTATTACTCATATAACATCACATTAACGAGTGATATTTCACATGAAATACATAGGATTAATTTGAAAAAGAAACAATACTACTTAATAATAATAGTAATAATATTTTTTTCTTTAAAAAAATCACCACAAATAAAAGCATTTCTTGTTTTATCATGCAGAAAATCAATTAGTTGATACACTCCTGAATAATTTTCTCCTCACTTGGTGAAATATATATATATATATATATATATATAGACAGGTAATTATTATTCAAGGAGAAAGGAAGGCAGATTCCAAAGGAAAATACATACACAAGTTGGAAGGGCAACGGGGTAATAAAAGAGCAAGCATGGGATTAAGGGAGGTGGGGGGCGGCAAAAAATGACAGCGCACTGGAAGTAAATAAAACATATCACGAAGTTGATGTTGTTGTTGTTGCAGTTTTGTGCATTGTTGGTGCATGTGTGTGTGTTAGAGGGAGAAGGATCTAGTTGAGGAACTTTCATATTTCATTTTTTAACAAACGAAACACACATTAACACTTTCATCATCAAAAACAGGAATGTGAATACACAACTGTACGTGTGTGACTGTGTGTACTGAGAAGAACGGGATTTGTGAAAACAGATAAAAAAAGAAACATAAGAAGACAATTAATAAAAAACAATGAAGGGAATCAAGTAACCAACCAACGTTGGAAATTAAGCAGTGAACGTAACTAATACACATAATTATTATATAACAATAAGCGAATATAGGAATTTCATACACTTACCCGCCAAAAAGATTGTTCTAGCGTGTGCACTACTCTACACCATAAAAACCTTTGCATACAAGATGCATATGCCCCCCCCCCCCACTATAATGTTAGATAGTTGAGGAATGGGAGTATAAAAAGTGATTTAGATAAATAGGATAGATTGATAGATAGATAGATTACTCAATATTTTCATCACAAAGAATAATTTTGAGCATATTATCATCCACCCAACCGTACACACATACACACACACACACAGAAGTAAGGGATTTTCAAAAACCACGATTTTTTTCAGTAGTGTTTTATAAATAAAGCAAAAAAAGGACTGGTTTTCCTTTCTCCTCCCCATCTCATGTGAAATAAAAAAGTGGGATATCATAGAGCATACTGTAACACTATCGAAAGTAATATGTATTATGTTCGTATATAATATGTATTGCGCGAGTAGAAGATAAACATATTTTGTTGCCTAGATTAGATTCACAAGTAAATAAAATTGCATAGTCTGTTTCGATGTGTGTGTGTGTGCGTTACACAGTAAAATCACAGCTAAGGAGAGAGAGGGATAGTGTGTGTTTTTAGTTCGAGAAGAAATGAGTGAGAACAAAGAGAAAGTTCAAATACACGTATTATATGGATCATTTTGTAAGAAACAGCCCAAATAGAGAACACACACCAACAAGAAGAAGAACAACAATGACTGTACACTAAAAGAAAAAAACCGGTAAGAGAAACGTAGTAAAGTAAGTGTCAAGATAAATAATAATTATAATAGTAGTAGTAGTGTATGCCTAAATTGTTTTGTAACTACACATACATACATACATACATACATACATGAATATGATTAAAAATTACAAATAATGAATAAAGGATTAGATTAGTAGATTATATGAACATGAGTTTGCATCACAGAACGGCTATTTGAGTGAGAGAAAAGGAGAGAGAAGAGAAATTATAAATACATGAGCAAATCTGTGACTACCTTTCTCTTTTCAACGCCAGACTCCAGGCGATGCAGCAGAAGCTACATTCAGTAAATCAGGTGATGCAAGACATGCAGTGGAACTAGTGGAATGATGATGATGATGCTGATGATGTTCCCCCAAACCACCACCACCGCCTCCAATCCATGCTAATTGGATAGGCCGTTGAGGATAATTATTATTATTATTGTTATTATTATTACTATACACACCAGATTCAATATAATAAGGATGATGTAATTGACTTGTATCAGTAAATGTACTTGATACACCTGCTGTATTTGATGCAATTGTATGCGATTGTTGATTAATCAATGAAAGTGGATGAAGACCCTGTATAACATGAGTAGGATGAACACGTGATAGTTGAAGTGGAAGAGGACCTGGATTATTAGTAGAATGATGAACATGGAATGATCCGTGTGATCCATAAATAAGTGGAGAAAGTAGTGGTTCACTAATTTGTGTTAATACACCACCACCACCACCACCATCATTTGATATAATTGGAATTGAACGTGCCTGTGATACAATAACAGATCCAGCAGCAACTGCAGTTCTTAATGGTTGTTGATTTTGAATACGCATAAGTTCTACAGCTTCAGTTGGATGACTGACTAATCCGACTACTCCAGAGTGGCCAGGTGCTGCTGTTCTTAAATTATTGAAATGAGTATGCATAAGATTACTAGTTGGATTATCAATAAAATTAGCCCATCGATTTGGAGGTGGACAGACTAAAACTGAAATATGAAAGAGAAAATAAGAGAGAAGGAATATACTTCTTCCTAAAAATTAGCATAAGCGATAGTCCAGTACAAAACTTAGTGAAATACTAACACTTTCTCGCATTAAAGTTTTACTAGAGGTGGAATTAATATGAAGGTGAGGGAAATACAAATCACTATCACAGGGAGAAATATGAAGTCGTATCTTTCCCTTACCAGACCTGGATAACATCGTCTCAAATACACGCGGAACTGGCTGGGACGTCAAAGCCAGCTAGGATTGGATTGAGAGAGCTCTGAAATCACTTCGAAGATCTACACACAGGCACATAGAATAAGGAACGAGATGAGAGGTTTCATGATCTCATTGATCGACTCTATCCCTACATCACCTAACACACTTGGCCTAATCTAATTATTACTTTTCACGTTACTTTACTGAACATAGGTGGTCAAATGAAAGTATATATGATCAAAAGCACCTCAAGTTTTCATATCTTCTACTTTTGACGTATGTGTTTCACAGTCATAAACTAGAGTCAAACAAACTGTTGCGCAGTACACACGTATATCTTTTTATTGGCAGACTAACATCACGTATACATAAGAGATGATGGAAGTCAAAAAAAACTCTAAACGAGCATTATCCATGCTGAAATCTTGTCAACGATCAGTCTATTAAGTGGTAGTTACTATAATGTGATCATTTCACTCTCCATCGGTACACTGTGACGTGTGCTATATGGATACAGGTTGATAGGAAGCAGCCAAAATTGAAATCAACATTTTAAGTCAATGGCTGCAAGAGAAGAAGTGTTTATTCTTCAAACCATGACTTATTTTACGTTGTGGTCTTGAAATAATCTCATTTGACAACTTTTTGTCTCGTTGTTTAACCTTGGGCTAATCGCCAGCCAATCAAAACAGTTTATTCCCCTCTGACCTAGCCGGCGGCTTTCAGTGGGGTTAGAAATTTATAAATATAATGCATTTTTCCTTGATAAAAAAGTCTGTTACAACTTTTCTTACCTTCTACCGTTACAAGTGCAAACCAGTTCTGTGGGTTTGTTTGCCGTTTGACAGCGGAGAACCACATGTCCAATGCATTTCTCACAGGCAATGCTGGTTGTCATCAGTTAGGACAACAACTCTCTATAACCTCTTATTATATAGATGCATGAGTTCGAATAGTGTTTTGGTAGGCACAATACAACACTCCATCATCTTTTGCATTAGGGATGAATATTGCCACCACCAACACGTCTTGAATGAGTCGAATGCCGCCTTATAGGTCAAGAAGTAAGGTAACTATTGAGTGCCATTAAGTATTTTATGCTGCTAAGTTATTTATTCCAAGGGTGACGATTTCATCAGTGCACCCTCACCAAGACCTGAGATCCGCCTAGATTACCCGAGGCAGAACCTTCTTTTAGTAGGAATACGAACTCTACGATATTAGGTGTTGCAGAAAGAATAATTATGAGGGAAAATATGGCGATTTAAAGCATCTAAGAGACTACCAAGAATTCAATACATCTGGGTTATTGAGAATGACTTCGTATCAAGTAGTCAACATTCTCAAGCCAATGGATCCACAGTACCCAGAGAACCGCAACCCCCTACGTGACTGGCTCAAACCAATATTCAGAAACTTCAAGAATTCATGCCTACTCCTATGTTAGCTAACATAACATTGCACAACGAAGGTGGTGGCTCAATATGTGTAACACGTTCCATTCAGTGTTCGAATTGGAAAAAGCCTTATCCTTTTTACAGCTATAATATCAAAAACTACAAAACGTCGTCCACTGTTCTACTAATTACTGTATGAATCAACTAAGCTCCACTAAAGAATCCTCAGTTTAGGTTTTGTTTGTTTGTTTTGAACTCAGTTATCTGGGACAGATTTTTCACGTGCCAGACTATGAGCCACACACTTATTGTGTGAGGGCTGGTGATACTATCTAGTTATCCAATCAGGAGTAGGTGGAGCAGGACTCGAAATCGAGACCCATTGGTTGTATATCGGGCTATTTAAACTGATGTGCCATTTCTCCACAGGTAAATTACCCGCAGTTCAAAGAAACACCTAAAGAGATCGAAAATCATTTATACATAATGCAGAGTGACTTTTGTAAAAAAGCATGTATAAAATGCAGAAAATGTTTTTACCAAACGAACCTGGAGCATTTGAATTCGATTCACATTGAGCTGAAGAATTACCACCACCCCCTCCACCTGTATTATTATTCGTATTTGGACGTCTAAAAAAGCGATGCGTTAATGCTTCAGCTGGACTAATACGTCGAGCTGGATCAAAGGTGAGCATTCGAAGTACAAATTCCAAAAAAATACTATAATCCATTGGAGTATGACCAGCTTCATGTAAACGCCTCCCTCGTGGTCCACCAGAATTAACACCTAAAATTTCAGACAATCGACGACTACCAGGTTGTTGACATGAAGCCTAAAATAGATGAAAAGGATACAAAACACTGACTGAATTCAGAAATAGTGTTTTAACGGTAGTGTAAAGCCTTAAGATTTCATATAATTTTCATATATACATATTTACCTACTCATAAGTAGTTTCAACATTGCTGAGGAAATAATGATGATAAAACTACATTAAAGGACGACCATTGTATAATGGAACCATTCAATTCATAGATGAACAGATAAGATAAAAATAGAGCAGAAGGAAACAATGAGGGACATGCATTTCAGCAACTATACTGTGTGTGCATTCTCAATGCACAAATTAGAATGGTTATCAACTCTCACAGAATTTATATACAGATGAGACTTAACTGAATTTTTAAAGTAAGACGTTGCACTAAGGCGTAACAGTTCAACTTGACACTTCGTAAAGCACACATAGAGAGAGGGAAAAAATGTTACGAAAATAATCGAAATCAAAATATGCGAAAGAAATAATAATGAGGATAGACTGAATCAAAGAGATTACAAAGGGTGAAAATATCTGCACCTTTAGGAACAATTTTAAATTGCATCGCCAACAGTCTCCACCCACTAAATTTTAACGTCTCGAGGCTCCCAGCCACATAGTTTACATCTGCCTACGTGGCTCAAACAAAGAGTCAAGGACTTCGTGGACTAACTCCGCGTATCCACTCAATCACTCCCGAACTCTCTCCAAACGTATTCATATGTCAACTGACATTGTTATCAATCACCACATTATGCCACCTGATACGCAGACAATTTTTTCATATCTTTGAATTTCGATGACCATTCCCTACAGCTATAAAGGAGGACTGGGGAAATTGTTAGGCCGTACACACAAACTTCAGTCGAAATTCTGATGTTATCTCTACACAAAATGAGCCTTTCGTATCCATGCTAAAACTTCGTCAGCAATCAGTCCATTAGCGCAGATGGAAATTCTCAAATAACCGCTTCACTACATATTTCCAAACTAGGAGTCGGAGCCAGATCATTCCTAAAGTATTATCCCACATCTAACACATATGAGAATCTCATGCCAGAATACGCTGAGATTTTTGCTCAAGATGTCAAGAAGACTCTGAATTTTGCCAGCTTTTTTACCTAGAGGGACCATATCATCTTCATACTCTACAACGACGAGACTATTCCCCTGGTAAAATGTCAGTCTCTAAGTCACTTAAATCTATTAGGAGATCACAGGTACTATTACATCGACTGATGGGATTTACAAAGACCTAAATATTTATGATTTAGCAATAGATATAGAGAGAGAATTGAGAAATTCCAAATCCTTGCATTATCTCAATTATGGGTTCCTGGTTTCACGCTCATAGTTCCCTCTTTACTGGGCTTACTACCAGCTAAGCGACGTTTAGGAGTGCATCGACCGGGAATCAAACCCCAGGCCATGTTGGTGAACATTCTACCGCTGAACTACCGGCAGACGGAATAGATGTATCTACATACAATAACGACAACTAGGTTCATGAAAGATATTTAATTCAAGTAAAGCAATGAAATCCGTAGACAAGAATTGAAAGCCTTCAAAAGGAAGATAAATATATAACAGTCACGAAAAACCCAAATAATGAAAAACGGAATTATGTATCACTTACTTTAGGTACATAAGTTCGATCAGCTGTTCGTTCAAAGAATACATGCCAACGTCGACTTTTATCCAGTAACAAACGAGGCGGCATACCAAGTACTTCTATAATTTTCATCATTTGTCCAACCTAATTTAAATTTAAGAGGAGAAAAGTTTTTATTTTGATTTGCATATTTTAACGTTTGTATTAACATTTTTCAAATTTAGTATTCTTTAAGGTTAATCTTGTAATTCCCATCAATTGTTTATCATGGACTGAAATGTTCGATTTCTGTTGACAAGTGTCAGCTCCTAGTACAGACGATTCAACAATGTCTAAGGATTAACATGTCGTTTGATGGATAGTGACAAAAAGTGGAATCCAGGATGCACATTTCGTCCTGGTTGGGATTCGTCATCTCGATATGTCTATCGTTGAGACGATGTGTGTAGCATTCAAGTCTCAGTGGGAACTCCATTAGTGATGAGGATTAAAGGTACATGCAGTCGACAAGTTCTAAATATGAAAAAACGCGCATTCTGAATTCTACTGCTACTCACTATCCACCAAATAACATGAACTTTAACTTTTAAAATGAACAGTAAGATACAAAATAAACCGATAAGATATGGTAAAGAATTTTCAGAATTTTTCTGATATGAACGGTGATACGACCTGGGAGATTATTGTGTGAGCTGTAGGAGCCTAACGAGACTACAAAAACTACTTTCTAGTTGTTAAGCGCAACGTGAACTACGACAAAAACAAAAATATCAAAAATATGTGAGAATAAGAGAGAATGCGAACCGTTGGTAAGACAGCTTTTACTATCTCAAATAACGGTCAAAAACACTTTATAGTGAAACTGAAATGACTATAACGAACAATAAATTCACAAGTCCAGAGGATTGGCGACCAAAGAGTGTTTAGCCTTCACTAAGCATGGGAAATACAAAAAGCGCTGTGAATGATTGAAAACTGCAAGATTATATTTATCTTAAGGAAATAGGCAAAGAATAGTCAAACTAGAGGGGGCGTAACACAATCCGTTGATTTGTTGGTAAAACTAAAATTTCCTTAGAAAGATTTACTACCAATAGATCGCCGTCTGTAAAGGTATAAGTAGCAGAATTCTAGCAATTGGTATGAGCGGAAGTAGTAATTATGTTCAAATGTTATCAAAATCACAAAACATTCATTACAAATACACTCATTATAATGTGGTCTATTCAACAATGCTTCAGATGCACTGATGCTTTCAGTTGGATCAAAAGTGAACATTTGAAGTACGAATTCCAGAGGAAATCAACAGTTATCCAGTGGTTCATGTCGAGTGACCTTAAGTGTGAAACGCTTTCCACATATAAGACGGTTAATTCCACTTTTAGACATAAATAAGACTTATGTCATCTGGTTGGTTTTCATAATTCTCGTAACAAGAGGGGAAATTGAAGTAAAAATTAAGTCAAGTGTTAAACATCTTGGATCTGATCTTTCCTGTTGTTTTACATCCTTTTGTTTCCTAGGAAAATGCACCCTTTAACTTTCACACATAAGAAATTGGTGAAACTCTGGTATCATTCAGCACCTACTCCCACAATGTGATAACTTTTGTATTTTGCCTATTCTTTTTTATTGCTTCTCACTTAATTCTTTCTGGGTTACTTAGAAAAGACTTTGTAAAATAACATTGCAAAGGACACTTGAAAGCTGTCGGTAGGGTGAGTGATTTGCCTTTAATCTAACGTGTTGATAACTTTGTTGATAGACAATTAAACTCATATAAGAAATTGGTAAAAGTCATTTTGTCAGACTCTCAAGAACCACCACCTTTATTCACAATTATCCCATTGCATCTTCTCACGCTGAACCAGAAGCAATTATAAGAAACAGTATACACTCGCACAACTGAATAACGTATAAAAAACCGACAATACCTTATTTGGCATGTATTTTATGTGATGAGAAGAGTGTTAGGTATGAAATTACCAACGTGTTGAGAAACAGTAGACTAAACGTCCCCCGCCCCACTTTCACTCTTTTTTTCATTCCTATGCATTTCGAGTGGAAAAAAGGAATTCGAGCTTTGAAGCCTCAGCAGTGATGAAGATATTTTCCACGGGTGTGGGGTTGCTAGGCCTCACACGCCCAACCTTCAATCTTTTTATCGGCTAGGCAGAATTTAGAAGTGTGTCAACCGGGAATCGAAGCCGGACTACGTGTGTGGTTGGCGACCATTCAACAATTGAATTACTATTGTCCCTATTAATATTAATATATTTTGACATTTATAGATTGTTCGGTAATTATTTTCCCCCTTACCGTATAGTATGGAGAGAACATTCAATGGAATATTGTAATATATGCTGAGAATTCCACACTGTCTTAAAAGTACTCTTTGAAATTAAAGGCATGGACATTGAAAGAATTGGATATATGATAATCGTTTTAACAAAATCATAATAATAATATTTTTAAACAAACAGAGAGAAGTCATCAAATACAACAACAAAAGCTTACTTCATTTTGTCCAGCAAATAGGGGTTCACCAGTGTGTAATTCAACTAGAATACATCCTAATGACCACATATCAATACTCATTGTATAGTCTAAACCAAGGAGAACATCAGGTGAACGATAATAACGTGATTGAATATACTGATAGATTTTTTCATTCATATGACATGAACTACCAAAGTCGACTAGTTTTATAGTTGAACGTTTTGGATTAACAAGTAGAATATTCTCAGGTTTTAAATCACAATGAATAATTTGTAATTCTGGTCTAGATAAAAAATCTAATGCACAGCATAATTGTTGGGCAAATTTTCTTGTTAAACCCAATGAAACACCATGAAAATTTGTATTTCTTAAAAGATCATATAAATTATAGGAGAGTAATTCAAATACTAAGCATAAATGTCCTCTGAAGGTGAAATGAGTGAGCAAACGAACTAAAACAAAAAAGAGAAAAAAAACAAGGTATCGATAAGTGTATCACAATAATCATGAGGAAAAGAAATTATCAAAATATAAAACAAGTTAATTTGTTCATTTGATTTTTCACAGCATCAACAGTAAGGAATTCGGAACACCAAGAGTTGTACTTCCATAAAAGGAAGAAACCCCTGAAACCTTAAGTAGATTTTGTAACAAAGCAGGGATAAAAATGGCATTCATGTCTATAAACTTACTTGGAAACGAATTATGTCCGTTAATTTAGTTTGTTTTGTGTCCTGCAATGATTGTTAGGTCAGATACACGCATGGAATTAGTAGGAGAGGGTCAATCAGACTTGTGGAGCACAAAAACCCAGCAAAGTCTACATAAGCTGATCCTGATATGATAAAAAGTCTAGAAAATAGCTCAGCAGTGGCACTACATGCAATTACACACAACCACATAATAAGGATGTGATAAGACGACAGTTTTACAATCTAATATAACAGACTGGAGGGTGAGATCGACGATTGAAGCTTCAATTATCAAATCAACTGAAAATACGTGCAATAGAAATGATTCAACACCTGTCCATCCGGATATCTGAAAAATTCTGGTAACGAAGAGAGCCTAGGAGAGAGACACTAAGACCGACAGATTCTACTTTCGAAGAAAACTTTTTGAAATCAGCGGTATCCCATTAATTAAAACACAGAACACTGACCAATGTGTTTATCAACTTTACATTTCTAGTGAAGGAAATTCTCCTACTTACTAGAATACATTTAGTCGTGCAGTTACTAGTATTGGTCTTTTAGGGAGAAATAAACACCCATAAAAGGCGAAATAGTGGGGTCTACATTTTTGATCAATAGTGTGTACGTGTGTGTGTCTGCGACATCTGACATAAGATGAAAGGAAGTTTATACATATTTTTTCTCTGTATTTTGCTTGTTTGTGATATCAACGAATAACAACAGTATTCAAAAACATTTCCTTTCGATTTAATTTTTCATCTACAATCAGATTAATGAATTCTGCATAGAAGGCCGATAATAGGCTATTTATTCACCTGGTTAGCCTACTTCCAATATGCATATTTATACTTCTATTCGATCGTCATGTTATCCTTTTTGTTGCACTTTTATTTACACATAATTTTTTGAAGAATTAAAATTCAATAAATTACCTACTAATTTATTCAGGTGTTAATATTATCATCATCAACACTTATGTTTGTATGTCTATTAAAATTCTTTTTAATTGCCCGGAACTATTCATTATTATTCAAATAATAATAATCTGAAGCGCACTAGCGACTGGCTACAGGACGAAATTGCCTGTAGTTCTAATAAGAAGTCTTGAAGAGTGAGTGGGGTCCATTCAGTTGGGAGTGAGGATGGAGTTCCCACCAAAGACATTGGTTGGTGGTCACGCTAAAATAACGAATCGGTAGAAGTTAAAATTCATGGACCATTGAATCAGGGTCCCGGTGGCTAAATCGTCTACGAGCTTGCCCTGTAACCAGAAGGTCCGGTGTTCGAAACCCAGTGGGTGCGTACTGCCGATGGGTCCCAAACTAAGACGAAACAGCTGTCCAGCACTCCCTGGTTTTCACTAGTTCTCTAACTGATGAATGAGAACATCTGGCTCTTTCACCCAGATTGGTGGACATACTAGTCTTTCTGGAGGAGTTGGAAAACCCTAATTCAAACACCAATGGTGTAGTACATGGGCTTCTGAATCCGAACGGATTAGATGGCATATGAACCTGTCCTGGTTACCGGCAATCATGGGAACGCAGCTCCGCTGTTTTGTGGATCCGACTTCAAGTCAATGGCTTGGGAGGTATGCCTCCTTATGGCGACGACCACCTGCTTTTATATGAGTATCCTGGATGTATCCCAGCCCTCACACAAACTATAAGACTTTGTGTGGTGCACCTCATCGTGTCCATAATGTATAAAATTTGTTTTTAATAATAAAATAATAATCAAGTATAACGGTGGCTGTGTTTAAAGTATAAATCATTTTGTCTCGGAATTGAGCCATCTCACATTCGATAAGATTGTATTTAAGAATTCCACGGCTTTCCTTCTAAATGAGTCAAAACAATGGATGTTAATGAGATCTGAGACAGATTTTGCAGTTAAATTGTGGTGTGTGCTACTGATAAGTATTTACGTGTAGTCTGTGGTGAGCGATACCTCCTATAAAAAAACTTGAACAGCGAAGAGACAGATTAAGTTGTGATGAGAAGAAATGAAAGATTCTTGTGAAACAACAGACAGAAAGCATGAAAGGAATAAGACAAAAGAAGCAGAATACAAAGAATGTATGCGAATGAAAATTTCAAGGTAGGAAATCTGTATTCCGCCACCACTGTTTATCATTTATCATTAAATAAATATTCTGCTATCGAAAAATTCTGTGTTCTGCTGCTGCTGCTGCAATAAACTGATATCGATATTAAAATCCATGTATTCACCTAGAAACTGTAACTTCTTTAAGTTATATGATCGATCTATAAGACGGTACTACAAACTGTTAGGCTCTAACAAGGATTAGAAGAATGGAGTTTCTTGCGTACTGAAAGTAAGTGGTTGCTCGTATTTAAGACTGTAGAGAATTCAGTAAGTGAATAGTGCAATTCAGTTATACACTACAGATATTTCCGTCGTCTAGACTTTTAGGTTTGTGATGGGAATATACAGATTTTCATGTCGATACGTAGGTAAAATGGGATTTGAACAGGGAATCTGTTGGTTAAAAGTCAAGATGAGATAGCTCAAACAAAGTAAGCTTAGGCTTCAGATATTTAGTAGCTTAAAAATTCACATTAGGTTGTCAGTAATGCCCCTGAAAAAATAGTAACTCTCCACTGATTGCCTTTTATTTACCTAGTTTACAACAGAAGGTATTTTCAATTATAACAAGCAAAATTAAAAACTCATACTGAGAAACAAGAAGCTCAGCAGTGAAACAAACCAAATAACCACCTATCTCCTAGCAAATATGCAGAAAGAAATGGAGATGGATTGGACACACTCTAAGGAGGCCGTTGAGTGACATCGTGCGCTAGGCGGACACCTCGAGCCTGGACCGAATGGGGAACGACGAATTGAGGATATGCCTGAGGGTAACATGAAGGAGATGAAGGCTTATCATCAGTCGTGGAGCCAGCTAACAGGGACTGCAGGGGACCCAGTGAAATAGAGATGATTTGCTGTTCAAGCCCTATGTTCCACTCAGAATAATAATGTCCAAGTTTTGGTCCTCAGGGATTTGACTGGTTACAGGTTTGATCATCATTGGAAAATCTGGGAGTAGCTTGGCATATATTTCGTCCAAGTTCGTAACTCTTCAACAGTACGCACCCACCAACACTTGAAAATTAATCTGATGCCTACTAGCGACTGGTTATACACAGGAGGTTACCTAGATTTCTAGTTAGAAAGTCATTACCAACGGGATCCACCAAGTTAGGTAAGAGGACGGCTACTCGCCAATGACGCTGGCTGGCGGTTGCGCTATACATATCGCGAATTGGCCGAATTTGGAATTCATTTGGCCATTGAATCGGGTCCCAGTGTCTGAGTGTTCCACAAGTTCGCCCTATAACTAGAAGATCCTAGGATCCTAGAATCCAGACTAGTGCGTGCAGCTGGAGAATCCACAACTGGGACGAAAAAGCAGTTCAGTACTCTTTGATCTTACACTTTTTCTCTAAGTCGATATCAGCTCATCATCAAACATCTATAGTAATAGCACATAATATGTAGTATACTCAGGATTTAACTGATTATCAGGTTGATTTCGAGGGGAATGTAGACTGAAGTTAGGTAACACACAAGCCGACCACCTATTGTACTGACTGACAAATAAATAAACAAAAAAACAATAAGATAATACAAGTCCCTACAGTATACTGGACAAAAGAATGAAAAAAAGAAAGATCAGCGTCGAATAAAAAGTACACAGTTGGTTGGTTACACAACATAAGTCTTAAAAAGAGGTGAATGCATTTCATAAAAGACATTAGTTAATCTACAAATCTTTAAAAAGAAAAGCATAAGTATAAAAAAAAGAAGAAAGTAGGAGTGAAGTGAAACAAAAAGAAAAAAGAAAATACAAGCAAAAAAATATATATTAATAATGTTCCAGCTAGTGGTAGTTACTTGTTATTTAAGAAGAAATTTTGTTACCTTACCTTACCTTAAGTAACCTAGAAATAATCCATACTTTTATTGATTAGACCTACAGATCTATTGAGGTGTATTGACTATACATATATATAAAAATCTCCATTATTGTTATTATTATTATTTCCGGTAATAAGCTCTTTTGAGAAACAAAACAAAAAATACTGATACGGGTAGTTTTATTATCAAATTGGACATTGGTATGAAGTATTGCACATTTTATTTCGAAGCTTCTCTTTAGCTACTGATCGACTGACTGAAATTTTATGTGGTAGAAATTTGCACAAGAATTGTGACAGTTCAAGTTGGCACGCTCAACAAAGCGTACAAAGATAGCGGAATACTAATGAACAGATATATCCAGGAGAAAGGAGTCAGTACACTTAGAATATTGAAAATTTCATGATTCTAAGGGTTCATAAAAAGTTAGTGCACCTGAGCCATTGAAAACGATTTTAAGCCATGTCACACTAACAGTCTCCATATCCATAGCCAACTGAAATCAACAGAGTCAAAGACTTCATGGACTGATTTAATCAAGCCTAACTCTTTGCCAATCTGATTCAATGTTAGATAACATTGCCAACATCCCAACAAGAAAGGCGACGGCTTGGTATGCATAACAGGTGACCTAGCCATCTCGATCAATGCACAGCTTTACAACCTCACCGACTGAATTTCCGTCCTAAACTAATACTCTACGCCTAACATCTCAATATTTGCTTAGCATAGTAGACCACTTGACAGGCAAGACAGAAGGCGGATACCACCTATGGTTAGCTTAAAATATAAACAGGATTAATGCTACGTCTGCAGATAAAGAAAAGCCTCAAAAATAAAATGCATACAACATAAAAAATGAGCTCATCTCCAACAGCTTCATCAAAATCTGTTATTACGATTATCGTTTTCGTGAAATTTTGGATTGAATTCAATGTAAATTTCGTCACGAACCAAAATGAGTTAAAGAATCACTGAAAAATAGGGAGCACTGAACAGCTGTTTCGTTCTAGTGCACCTAGTGCAGGGCTCTTCATCAGTGCACACTCATGACTGCACCAAGGGTCAGTTACAAGACCGTGGCGCTATATATATATATATATATATATTTCGAGAATTGACATAAGTTGGACTTCACGCATTATCAAATTAGTCTCATAAGCTGAAGGTGCTAGTTTTGACGCATAATGGAGTCATAAGTGAGAGCTACTGAAGAGACCCGAACTGAAACACAGCAGCTGTCCAGTGGCCCCTTGGTTTTCAATGACTCTCTACCCAGTGTCGATTTATGACGACATCTACAGTGAACTTCTCCTTATTCGTAGAGTTCCAATATCACTTGAATTCCAGGTCATCAATAAAAGAGTGTGGTATGATTTCTTCATCTAAATTCATCAACATTTGCCTACAGGTAAAAACTGGTAAGATATGTGTTTTAAATTACCTCAGACATCTTAGTAGTAAAGGATAGAAACTACTTTCACATTTAAATAAGGTTTGATGAGCATTGATAAGTGTTTACTCAACATATACCAACGGGGAACTAGTGGTGTGTCGAGGCACTGACCAACTTTAGAAACTAAATTAAAGAGCAGTGTATCTTATCTATGCAGTAGTATTTACCAGCAGAATGAAATACATACTTAATAATTCATAATGTGACACTGAACAAAATGTCTGTAGATTTTATTGATGTTTTCTGCGAAATCGTCCACTAAAAATACAAATACAATTGTGATCTTTCCAGTGGCACGTCTACATTTCACCCAGTTCTCCATCATCTTTTTTTTAGCTGACTCCATAATTGCCTACAAGCTGTCACCTTTGGAAGTCCACCTCATTCTGCTTCACTTGAGTTCTAGGGCTAGGTGCGAGGTTTCACTCAACGGGCTCCTCAGTGTATGTTCACAATCCACCTCCATTTCCTTCTGCATATTTGTTAAGCGATAAGTTCTTGATCAGTTCGTCTGCAAAGCTCCTTTCTTGGTTAAGCCTCATGGTTGGGGAACTGACCTTTAGTATCGGGTGAATACAGATATTCAAGAAAGTCTGCAATAAGCTATTTGGAATGCTTTTCGTGAAACTGTGTAATTGGCGAAATCATCGTGTTTTCACTCTCCGTTGTCTGCAACAGAATGCATATCCTAAATCCGTAGCTGTCGTGTCACCTGACAACTCCAGTAGGTCAAATAAAGCAGCTCAATCTTCAGAAAGAAGACAAAGCAATAAGTCCGACAGGGTGCTTCTACTAAACTCTAATCCTAAACACTACAATTTTGAAAATACGTCTAATCATAAAATTCTAGATACTAACAGTTTGAACAGACATGAAGGCATGATGTTAGCTGATGCAAAAGAAATCCTTATTAATAAATAAAAAATGGATATGTATCACTAATTATTAATACTTGGTCAAAACTCTCGACTGTCCATAACTTCTTATGTAGACGTTAAGAAATGTTTTACAACTGTTCACCCACACGCACATACACACTCTGTTTAAAGTGTTTAACAAAGGTAGACCAATATTTGTAAGTCCGAGGTCAAATTTTGATCACAGCTCATAAAATTTTGTTTATGATGCTTGTTGAATGACTCATGATTGGACAAAGTTTTTAAAAACAAGTGATGTTCCTTCTATATATAACCCACTGTTATGTTAATTTAGATTAATTTCCCTGAAGAAGTTCGGATCAGATTGCCGAACGAAATGTTGGAATTACTCATTTGAATCTCGCTGAGATTTTACAAATATAATTTTTTACAAATGGCTTTTCGTGATACGTTCGCCAAGTCTCCGAACCATAGAGGAGTACCGATTCAATAATAGTGTTGAAGGTCGATTAATGTCAAATCATTACTAGATTGATTATGAGACAAATAAAATGAAATATATTCAGAGAGAAATAAAATAAGGCAAAAATTTACCAATCAAATTAGATCCTGGTGGTGGTTCTTTCCCAGAGGCTACAGCCTCTTCAACATAATGATTCATTTCACGTAATAATCGAATTTCTACCTGAGCTTGATTAGTGAATGCACGCTTATTCTTGATAATTTTAATGGCGACATCTTCATTTGAAATACAATCATGAGCTTTCATCACCTAAGGTTAAAAAAAAGTTTACAAAAATATAAAGAATGAGTTTTGGTGAAAAATTTAGGCATACGAAAGACTATTGTGCAAAAATTAAAAACTTCTTCGCATAGACAGTACTTAACTCTAAATAGGAAGATTACGAGAAATGAAAGATTTAAGGCACCAGTGGAGTTTATCAAGTTCGATGTGAGGACAGATGCTCACGGACTACATTGGCTGGCGGTCATGCTACATATATCGCAAATGAGCACAAGTTAGAATTTATGTGACAGTGATTAGATTCCTCCTGAACGGTCAATGGGCTAGCCCCGTACTGCCGAAGAGTCTCAACCAGTACTTCGTTGTATTCAGTGATTCTCCAACTAACACCAATTTGTGATCGAACTTGAAATCAACCAAATCCCTGCAAACGAACACTTGAAAAGTGCCTAATTGTGACGGTATATACTACTTACTCATTGGTTCGTATGAGTAGTTGGAAGCCATTCACGTCAAGCAGTAGTGATCTAAACATCGGAAAAGCAGTTACGCTAGTTTGGGACCAAGCTCATCAGTGGTGTGTGTGTATGTCCCAGTGCGCTCAACTCATAGAACGGAATCAGTCCAAATCATCACCCGACGAGTGCTTTCCATCAGTTTCGAACGGGTTTGGGTAATTCGCTTTAATCCTGGAGCTTTAATAGGGGGTGGGGATTCAAACTAATGATATATCCATTGAAATCAAAACCCCATATAGTGTAGAGCATAACAATGATGAATATTTCTTTAGTTTTACGGAAATCTCAGCAGTTTTTAAAATGTAGCCTAACGATGTGCAGAATAAATCTGCGTTTCCAAGTGAATTTTTGACATAAATACTTCACAAATAATTGCACTTAAATATCTCGTTTAGGAATGAATGAAAACTAAGAACCTATCATTAATGATACATTCAAAGCCCAAACTAAAACGATCCTATCCGTCTGGCATAGATAATATTAATTATGGTCAATGTAAGAAGTCATGGAGAAGTGAGTTATTGGAAAGCCATTCACTAACTACAACGATCCCACTATTAATATATTATTATTATTATTATATTAGGGAACAGAAATATGACCTTCCTTGTTGTCGAGGTAAATGATCCTACCAACTGCAGTCCATATGCAATGACAGATTAATTACGTCATCACATCAGTGACATATGCAGAAAGTAATTTGAATGACTGATGATAGGACCTCTGTGTCTCAAAGTAGGATAGAGTGGAATGTTCACTGAAACATCGTGCAGATGAAAACCTACTTCTGCTAATCAAAGATGTTACTGCTAAGAAGGCATATTATTTAGTGAGCATTTTGAAAAAAAGGTTGCAGTACTTTAGTCATGACTTTCACACCGTTAAGAACTGAGGACATATTTAAAAGAACGAAAGTCTGGAAAGAGGCTATGAAGGGTAAAATGGAGCAAAGTGAATGTCTCAGCCATCCTATATATACGGGTTTTTCAAGTTCGGAGGTGGAGTCATGCTTAGAAAACTTCCTAGATTGACCAGCGATGAAATCTCAGCACGGATCCAAAAAGCTCGGGCTGCTTTTGCTAACTTACGCCACCTCTGGCGTAGGCGTGACATCCGGACGTGTGTACTGCTCAGCAGTTCGCTCCGTCCTACTCTATGCCTCTGAAATATGGCCAATACGAGTTGAAGACATGAAAAGGTTGACTGTTTTTGATCATAGATGTCTACGATCTCTTTCTCACGTTAGATGGTATAATAAGGTAAGTAATGTTGACGTTAGGCGTAGAGTGTTGGGCAAAGAGGGAAAATCAATCGAAGAGGCTATAAAGTTACATAGATTGAGATGGTTAGGTCACGTGCTGCGCATGCCTAACCATCGCCTCCCCCGACGGACGGGCATTACTAGCTGATATAGGTGCAGGTCGGAAAAGAGTAAGTGGTGGCCAAACAAAAACATGGCCTCATCAATCCATGAAATCCCTGACAGCTAAACTAAGTCAGGTAGGGAGATGCAGACTTCCGGATTGGGGCCCTCGGGACTCTAAGAATCAATGGCTGGAGACGATAGGTGACATGGCTCAAAATCGTTGTCAATGGCGCAGATGTATTCAGTCTCAGTAATCTTTCATATTCCTCTCTGCCATTACTCATTCTGTTTCACTCTTATACTTGTCAAAACTCTTTTGATTCTCTTCACTCATTTTCTATCTTTGTGTGCTATTTGGAACGTGGCAACTGGAACTGCTGCACTTCATGCCAAGTTATATGTTGAATCCAGACAGACAGACAGATTGATTATAAAATTATGGCATTATTCCTCTTCCTTTACAATGAGACCAGTGAAGTGTCAATGTATGTGACAATCAATGTGGTATAGATTTGCTATAAAATGTGTCTAAGGTACTAGCTGCTATTGGACTTCAAAAGTCATATTACATATTTTAGCAACCTATTTGAAAGAAATATAAAAGGTTTTACTTGGTCTCTGGTATATGTGATATTGATTTAGTGTGGGGATGCATACAATTCATTTCAGTTGTACTTAGTAGCGTAAAAAGTTGCCTATGAATATATGTTTTCCACATCACCGCCCATTTGTGCCTTTTATGCTGGTAGATTTCACATTGATTGTCATTTCCTGTCGATCAGTTTATCTAGGAGTGACGTTCTCATCGGTCTGTGACATCAAACCAACGGATGAAGGATATTCAGGTGGTCACGTTGACCACGCTGGTGCGGTCCAAAAGTCCATGTACCAGTATTTGGAGAGAACATACCAAAGCATAACACAGAGCCAAACACTTAGTAGACATCACGTTATGGCATGTTTTCCTTTGCGTCTAAGAACTAAGTCATCCAATAAAGACCTTTCGAATCTTTATAAACCTCATATGCTTTCTATCCTGCTACATATAAACAATTCGCTAAACTTTCAATAATCATGGCATAAATATGCCCTATTTAGGTAATTTCATTCAATCTAACGATTATTCAACCCATTAAGCTTTCAATAATAAATATTACCGCAATCATTTCCAACTTCTTATAGACCTACAGCTAACACATTTTGTGGGTGATTTAAGTCTAAAATCTCCGTTAAGACATAAAAGAATTATTTAGGTCAGGCAGGTAACTAGATTTCAGACTGTAAGAAAAACAGACAAACAAACAGTAAATCAGTACATAAATTTACCTGACCGAAAGATCCTTTTCCAATAAGACTATTAATTAAATATTGTCCCATCCATACTTCACCAGGTCTAACAATATAATCATAATTACTGTCTGTATGACGACGATCAATATGCTGAGTTGTATTCATAGTCCCATTTTTATTTGAACCACTTATCATAGATGACTGTTGTTGTTGTATATTTCCACTGGCTGTTGACAAGACCATTGTTGATGTTACAGGAATGATTGAATTACTTGTAGTATTCGTTATAATTTTACTACCTATTTGATTTAAATCAGACCGATGCATAAATTGATTCGGTAATACTGAATTATAAAAGATTGGATGATTTACATAGGTGACATTTGTAGGTTTTGGTAAATTATTACCAAAAGCATTTTGAGCATAAGAAGAAGGATGAAGTATGTCATTATTTGAAATACCACCACCACCACCACCACCAGTTGGACACGATTGATTGATATTCACTCCATGGGATTTTGAAGTGCAAATATTTGTAGAAGATGAGACTGGATTAGCTGCATGACTGGAATAAAAGCAAGGCAATAATGGACTGGAAGAACAACTAGTATCAATTAATTCCGAAGGATTATCATGAGATGATGTTTTTGTGTTTGATCCGATATCTTGACTATCTAAACGTTGACGGAATCCACCTGAGGGGAAAAAAGTTAAGTATTAAGTTAAAAATTAAAAATAACAATCGAATGATAACTAATACTTAGATAAAGTCACAAGATATAATTATTTAAGTAATGGTTTGTAGGGATTTGGTTGATTGGTTACAGGATTTCATCATGAGCTGACATTGGTTAGAGAGCTATTGGAAAACCTGTGATTACTGGACAGCTGTTTCGTCCTAGCTTGGGACACTTCATCAGTACGCACCCACCGGGGTTCGAACCCAGGACCTTCTGGTCGCAAGGCAAGCTCGTAGACCATTAAGCCACTGGGACCCGATCCAATGGTCCATGAATTCTAACTTCTGCCAATTCACAGAAGGAGGCTCCTAGACACATAACCTGCTAATAGTTTCTTCTTTAACAAAAAGGTATATAGCAAATATTCAAATAAATTGTGATTAACATAGACGTAGAAGTTAGACACTGTCGTAGAACGTAATTCTCAATTAATTAGTTTACTAAGTATATCATAGTGATTAACATATAGAAGAGTTTGTGATTAAAAGAAACAGAATATTCCAAATATCATAAAGTAAATCCTGTCTGTCTGGATTCAACATAAAACTTGGCACCGATGTGTAGCAGTTCGAGTTGCCACGTTCCAAATAACATACAAGGCAGACAAGAAGATGAATGAAGAGAATCAATAGAATTTTGACAAGTATAAGAGTGAAACAGAATGAGTAATGGTAGAAAGGAATATGAAAGATTACAGAGACTGAATACATCAGCGCCACTGACAACGATTTTGAGCCATGTCACCTACTGTCTCCAGCCATTGATTCTTACAGTCCCGAGAGCCCCAACCCGGAAGTCTGCATCTCCCTACCTGGCTCAGTTTAACTGTCAGGGATTTCATGAATTGATGCCATGTTTTTGTTTGGCCACCACTTACTCTTTTCCAACCTGCACCTATATCAGCTAGTAATGCCCGTCGGGGGAGGCGATGGTTAGGCATGCGCAGCACGTGACCTAGCCATCTCAATCTATGTAACTTTATAGCCTCTTTGATTGATTTTCCCTCTTTGCCCAACACTCTACGCTTAACGTCAACATTACTTACCTTATTATGCCACCTAAGGTGAGAAAGAGACCGTAGACATCTATGATCAAAAACAGTCAACCTTTTCATGTCTTCAACTCGTATTGGCCAAGTAAATCCTACACCACAAAGACAGAAAATAGTATAAACAAGCCATTACCTGCATAAACGGATTACTTAAAGCAAAAGTTACAAGCACTATAGCCCCAGTAGTAACACATTTGTGAATGAGAAATAACGTTTATATACTGACTATGAAATGCCTATGTCTACCATGAGATTAAAGAATTCTAATGCAACTTATGTGTAATCTATAAGTTTTATATGCACTCCACAATAAGATTTATTTGATGTGCAAAAGCTTATGATCGAAGTAGGTAGATTTGAGACCCAGTGAAATGACTCCAGGACCTCAGCCATGCAGTCTACACTTCAATATGTAGCTCAAACTAGCAATCAAAGATTTCATGGATTGATGACATGTCCTGAATTGATCACCACTAACCCTTTTCCAATCCAATTCTACGTCAGATAGTATTGCCTGACTGAGGCAGTGATTTCGTATGCGTAACACCAGTGTCCTGGCTATCTGAATCGATACAACGTCAAAGCCTCATGGATTAATTTTCCCTCCTTATTTGATAATCGACACCTAACCTCAATATAAATCACCATATCAAGCTGTTTAGCAAGGGACATAGAACGTAGACGCCTACAGACAAAGACGGCTAGGCTAATCATATCTTCCAGTTTTAATAGCAATATTTCACAGTTGTGAAGAAGGACGGAGCGAGATGTTGAGTGGTGCACACATTCTTTGATAGAAAGCCCGATATCGCGCCTGAGTGATAGGTGCAGCATGTTGGTAAATGCCACAAGATCCTTTTGTATCCATGCTGAGATTAATTAATTAATGAATTTGTGTATATGTATATACATTCCATGAAGTCAGACGACAATACTCAGAATTGTAAGGCATGAGGAAGACAGTCAAGTGATTCGACAAAAATAAACGATACTAAATCCTTGATAAATGAATACACTTCCCATCAGCATATAACATCAGGAAAAATTGGAGGGAGTTATTGATATCATATTAACCGCAGTAAAACTAGAAGTGATAGAAAGGAGATTTACAGTAAAGAGTAGATGACAAACTAAGACGGTGAGTGTTTGAATTTAATTACTCGGAACAGGTAATTCATGCACCAGGCTATGGGCCACACACTTATCTTAAGAAGTTTGAGGTGATACTACCCAGGTTGCCCAGGTTGACGCGAATATGGAGTGGGACACGTGACGTATTGGTTGAAATTCGAATGCATTAAGCCAATGAGCCACATCCGCATAAAGTAGCGACTAGAAGATACACTAATAAGATGTTTGTAACTTAGAAGATGAAATATAGGGAAAGTGAATGCTAACTTTCACAATTTATAGACTTTCACCTGAAATCTCTCCTTCTATACATTAATCGGTCACTAGGGAGTAACTGACTTCATGTATCTAGTCCTTGGTGTTGGTGCAAATTGGATTCTACCAGTCAAGTTTGTAGTCGGGTTTCCAAACTATGTGTTACGACGGACTGACTAGATCTTTTCCAACCTGATTTTATGTCAGCTAACATTTCCCATCGGTCGATGGGCTGAACATGCATAAGACATGCTTTAGCCATCTTAATCGATGCGGTTTCACAACCACATTGACTAAATTTCCCACCTTACCTAGCACTCGACGACTAACCACAATATTATTCACCGCATCAAGCTATTTAACAAGAGAGATAGAACGCAGGTATCTATGGTCAGTGATGGCTAGACTCCTCATTTCTTGTTTTAACGGCCATGTCTCACAGTCGTAAAAAAGGACGGAGTGAGATATTGGGCAGTAAACAGGTCCTTTGATCGATAGACAGACGGATATTACGTCTACACAAAAGATAGAGTAAATTGGCAAATGTCACAAGCGCATTCTGTATCCATGCTGACTGTCGTCAGCAATCAACTCCGTTGGGGCTGGTGTGACTTCCCAAATAAGTGAAGTGGTCAACATGCACTACCACTTCACTCCCTGTCTTCAAGCTAGGAGTCGGTGTAGTCCAGTCTTGTAGCATTGTCTTACATTTGACAGGAGCAAATCGCATGCCAAACATTCGAAGATTGCTGCTCAAGATATCCAGAAGACTGCATTTTATCAAAGTCTTATGACAGAGTGTTAATGGGTTATGGTACCTCTAGCTTGACTAAAATGCGCCTCTAGACACGACACTATAACCAAATGATTACTCGAAAATATCCCAAAACTGAAATAGATACAAAAGTCAGACTGGGGAAAAATGACGACTGACAATAACAACAACAAAGACCACGACAACGTTTATTTGACAGAACTTCAGGAATTTAAACCGTAAATAAACGAATCAAAAACTGTCCAAAAAGATTATCATGTTAGTACATGCATAATTCACGACTTCACGACTAAGAGAGAAGTTTGTCAGGCCTAACACTAGATAACTCGCCGTTGCAGCGGATTCTGAATCAATGTTAGGTGGCTGGAGGCAGTTAGTGTCTTCTGGTCATTAATTTCAGTTTCCTCATCAATTTCCATAAAGCTTACTTTACCTACCAAATAACTTAGAGAATTGATAAATTAATTTCATTGACCATTATGGAGTTTCATTCATTCAACTTTTGCATGAACACTAATCAGGCAGATACCAGTTAGACGCTGCATCAAAGAAATCGTGAATAGAGTCCCAGTGGCTGAATGGTCTACGGGTTTGTGACAGCAAGGTCCTGGGGTTCAAACCCTGATTGATGCGTACCGATGACGGGTCCCAAACCAGGACGAAACAGCTGTTCAGTACTCCCAGATTCTCCAGTGGTTCTCTAACTGATATCAACTTGTGATCGAACCTGTAACCAATCAAATCCCTGCAGCAAGCCAACGCTTGATAGTTAATCTTTTTCCTGGTGTAAAAACGTAAATTTACTAACAATTGGAGTGTAAAGTAGTCAGTAATAAGTGAGCGTAATAAACAAGAGCAAAAGTTACATTGAGATGTAATAGTGATAAGTGTTAGACTAAAAGTTGTCAAATTGAAATCATATTTTGTGTTGTTTGGTTTTTTTCATCAGTTACTAATAATATATGTAAATATATTGAATCAAATATGATAGTGTGATACAACATGCAATTTCATCATCAGCATTATTATTATATCAATTCGCTGGCTTTGAATGTATTACAATGATGAAATAGTATTATTTTCTTGATGGCATTTCTAGCACAATTTACTGTTCACAGTGATCTCGTCATATGACAACACAGTTGTGCAGCTAGCAAAAGTGAAAACTAATAAGGAAAACGTCAGATGTTTTACGACATAGCTTATATATATATATATATATATATATAAATTTCGAAATTATTTTGATAATTTAAGATCGTCAGCGATAATTAATTTTATGCTTAGTCATATAATTATCTTTATCAATAAAAACAAATGAAATATACAGAGGCCATGATAAGATCTCGAACTGAGAATTACTCGTAACACTATAATAATATACCATATGTTAATTTAAATAACGATGAGTCAATGTAATAAAATAATAATAATGACATTTAATCAATAGCTATTTTTGGTTTTATATCTGACAGACAACAACGAAATTTATACATATATGGGTTTAACCAAAACCCACATGTACTAACTACTACAATATACATGTAAATTGTGTAAACAAACATGCATTATACATCAATCATGTTTACTCAGTTAACTAATCGGTTGGTCGGTCAATTATTCGTTGAATATATATATATATATATATATATATAAATTGCAATACAAGAGCTAAAATATGTACACACGCATGCTTAGTGAACTCGAGACCTTGATTTACGAAACACAGAACTTAAGAATTAATAATATGATGAAAAGGGTATCATTTGTCGAATTTCGATTGCACCAAAGACAGTATGTTATCCGATAAACGCGAGCCAATTTAGCTGCAGGATGGGTTTTGGCTAGCAAGGTATTCAAGCAAATCACAGTGGAAGAGAAGCGTATCTTCATTCAACTCGATTTTAAAGGTGGTAATACTGCAGGAATAGTAAACCGATGATTGAATACCTCACTGGCCGGAACCTATCCTGAAGTTAGGTTGATTCCAGTTTATCAGACATGTTCTTTGATGCAATCAAAATTCGACGGATACCCTTTTCATATCAAATCTGAGTACACAAATTTACGTGTATCTGCGGTAGCAATTACTTTAGAACAGAAAGGACACCCCCGATTTTTGGAATATATCAAAATATCTCATCAATACTGGTCATGAGGTGGACAGTGGAATCCTTTGAAATTATCAATAGAAAAAATAATTAGTGATAAGTCAAGGGCATACGGCTCATTCATTAAAAAATAGGTATTATATAGGGGAACGGGTTAATATTTGGCAATGTTTAATATGGTACTTGATTTCTCCCGAATTTCCCCGATTACATGTGTCGGTGGAAAAAGACGATAATAAACTTATTGTATGCCACAAAATAAGATAAGCCGTGTGAAACTAATTATTGAGGGCAAATACTAGCCGACGATACTGGCCACAAGTCGTGCTATATACGTATCGAGAATCGACAGAAGTTAGAATTCACGGGTCGGCCATTGAATTCCGTCTCACTGGCTGAATGGCATACGAGCTCAACTTGCAACCCGGAGGCCCTGGGCTCGATCTTAGGAGGTGGGGTCATGCGTGAGTACTGCAGAAGAGACCTGAAGAAAAGGAAGAAACAGTTGTTCAGTGTCCACTGGTTTTCAGTGGTTCTCTAACTGATATCAGTCAGTTTGTAATCAATTTTGGAATCAATGAAATCTCTGCAAACCAACTTTTGAAAAAAGAGAAACTCCGTCCACAATAAGTACAAACGTTAACAAATACATATTCCTAATCAAGAGATCTTAGTAGTCTACATATTCATGGTTGCATGACAGAGTGACTATTTTTACACATATTTGAAGTATGATTGTTTGGTGGTGTTTAGCAGCAGAGATCAGACCAAGATGTGAGTTGCGTTTTGTGCCCAAAATGAAATTGATCAATGCGGCTATGTTTATAGCAACGGGGAATCAGAATAAATATTTTGAGGTATTCTGACATTTTTAGCATTAGAAGGACAGTTGATAAAGTGTGAAGCAGCTACTTTAGCATATATATATATATATATATATATGAATAAGAGCTTTGAATGCTTTTAGTGACATCGTGATAACCTCTCCCACAGCGTGTTCATGTTTTTTTTTCTGAGTGACCAGTGAAGATTATTGACTCTCCAAGTAAACAATTTTGATGAATCCATTTCCATTCCAGATTCCTAGCAGTTTTATCTTCTTCTTCTTTACTTCGGCTATCTCCTACGGGAGGATGAGCGGGCTTCATGAACATCTCGAATCATCGCTGCCAAGGCACGGCGATCTGATGAAGAGAGTTCATGAAGTTTCATGGGAATTTGGTACGAGTGATGTCCCCAGAATCGCTCGGCCTTTTGTTTGAGAGTGCAGCTCTAGCCTTTACACAACCAAGTGTGACCTACAAGGCAGTAGGAGTGGAGTAGGGAGTCCACTATCCATTGGCAGCCGGTGACCGGAGTTCGGTTCATACGCCTTTTTGAATGGGGCCAGACATCCAGGACATCCAACAAGCCCTTTGTCCATACGTCTGCCGGTGAGCTCCAGTGAGCTTCATACGCCAGTCGTTGGAGGTTTGGAATCAGGGTTTAGCCATCTCCCCTAGACTGTCATCCAATGGACAGTCAACCCGGTGAAGAGCGCCGGGCATTCGCTTTCGCCCATTCACTTTGGTGAAAAACACCTCCGCCACGTGAAGGCAGTGAGTAGGACTTCCTCAGGAGAGGCTATGTAAGACGCAGTTCTATGCATCACATCTTCTCATTTCTTTTTTAATCTAAGCAGCTTTGCCAACTAACTTCGAACATCGTGCTTGTATTTTGCTTTCATCGAAAGGGGATACATCAACTGACTGGCTTCCCAAACAAAGGCTTATCGTAGCTGGCATCATTTCATCCCTTCAAATCCAACGAAGGATAAGTTTACTCCAAAGTTTCTGTATCGACTGGATTTATTTTCCGGAATATAGTCACTACCCCCAAACGCCCAGCCTCCTCTCTTTTCCGGACTCAGGATTAACTAGTTAAACTATGTCTCTTAATACCTTTAGATGAAATACTAGCCGTTTTTCGAGACAAAGGCATTCATATAAACGAAATAATAATAATAATAATAATAATAATAATAATAATAGTAATCTATTTAAAATATGGATAAAAGAAAATCTAAATTTAAACAACTTACATGTATATAAGGGTGAAGTTGTAGAATTATTAACTAAATCATTATTATTTTGACCATGATTCATACTCGTAGCACGTATATTTGCCATATGGTGTTGTTGTTGTTGCTGCTGCTGTTGATGTGTTGTTGTTGTATTCAATAGCATACCAGGCGGTAATCGACAACTACTACTACTAATCGGTGATATTGGATCAAATGATGTTAAATTATAATAAGCTGATGATGATGTTGATGATACTAAATTATTGTTACTACTATTATTATTGTTGTTGTTTATATTCATATTTGAACAATTCGGTGTATTAAAGCTTCCAATAGGCAAAGACATCGAATGATGTGAATGAACTGGTTGTTTTGCAACATCCAGATCAAATTGATTCTGATAAAATCCTCCTCCATTTGTTACGGAATTCATATTTCTTACCGTGTCTGTTGCTCCAGTTGCTGATATCATACAAAATGGGATCTGAGAGGATGATAATGAAATATTATTGGGATGTAAATTACTACTATCTAAAGACACTGAATTTTGTTCCGTATACATTGGAAATTCTTTTTGTGAAGAAGAGGATAGAACAGAGTGTTGTTGATGATGATGATGATGATAAGGTAATAAGTGTTGAAAATGAGTCAATTGTTGTTGTTGCTGCTGCTGTTGCTGTTGTTCGGGAGCCTTTTGATCCGATGAAATGAATACATTTCTTTGATCGCCACCACCACCACCACCACCACCACTACCACCTATAACCATCTTTCCATTGTTCAATGGAAGTGGTCTGGAAATATGAGATGCAGATTGTGTCACCACCTTCATAACGGGTGCACTAATAGCAGTACTACTGTTTGCCGGTGACAACCAAACATTACTTAGGCTATTTACTGCCAACCTTGTATCAGCTTCTGAATTGCCAATGTCATATAAAGAACCTGAAATACCTAAAAGGAAAGAGAGAGAGAAATCGAGGTACAAGACGACATGCAAAAACACTAAATGAATTCACACTAAAGATGATTAAGAGACGAAGAGAGATTGAGAAAAAGGAAAATGTTTTTTGCTTACTTTTTCGAAAAAATAAATACAATCTAATATCGACTAAATCAGGCAGATAGATAGATACACAAACATACACACACACGCGCGCGCGCACACAACAAGACGTACACACTTACGCTTTCTTTTAAGTATGCAGAAACTAAAAGATTTGAGGTGAGACAAGTTGTCGCATGATTACATTACATTAATTTTATCCATTAAATACAGATTTTACATATAAATGAAAAGTGTACACAGTGTTAAGGTGAAAGAAAGACAATACTACTACTTGCAGTTGTTGTTTTTTTGATAAAACACACCTGTCAAGTAAGGAAAAGAAAATGCCTATCTCCAGGAAAAGAAATCTGATTCATTTATTGGAATGATTTGTAGTTCCAATTGAGTTGATGTGGAACTTTTTCCCCTTAAAAGCCATCCTTGCTACAAAACAGTTACACACCCAAACTGATTTGTTGATAAAAACATGAAAGATAAGCAATCCAAACTGGTCACACTGACTCAGTTCCAAACAAAACCATCTTCATGAATCTGGAATTCAAAATAGGGGTTAGGCTTAAGAGACATGCTCAGTCAGTAAAATGTCCTTTGTGACCTAACTCGTAATTAACTTTTACCAACTGTAAGTTGTTCTCTGTCTGTGTAAAAGATAAGCTGCTTCATATGGCCGCTTCCATGTGTCATCTCTTTCAGTCCACCTGTTCGTGTGGAGCAAGGTACATATAGCTCGTGGTCAGAGAATGCTTTCTACAAGGGTACGAGAATATATGCTCTTACAAGGGAGAAAGGGTATGAGAAGCTGTATTCTAGAACACTTGATCGACTTCTATCACTCAACCAACAACCCTGACTATGGTTTTAAGACCATCTATCCAATTCATGCAAACATTGCCGCATTTTTCGTCTTTCTAAAATTTCTAAAGATAGAGAAGGCCTTGGGTATTCATGAATTCAAATCAGACCTTTATGTGTACAAGAAGTATGCACAGTTCCTATTTCTATCTTAGCTGTAGACAGGTAGACATTTGTTTATTCACTGTGTTTGTTTTGTTTATTCAATCTATGTACTTTTTCTCTTATGATTACGATTGTTACTATACTTTGTTTTCACTTTGGACAGTTTCCGGTATTATTTCGCTTGTCTCTATAATTATTTTAAATCAATATATATTTTTTTACACAATATTACAATCTATCTTACTAAACATCTGACCATATTAGGTTATGTTTTTTATTTGCTTACTAACCCTATTCATTTTACATTCCTTTCAAAGATTTATGCAGTCTGTGAACTATTTTCTGTGACACTATTTGTTTTGTTGCTTGATATTGAACTTTGAATATCATTACAAACGTTTCATCACGTTTCACACTGTTATTCAATAAGTATTCGTACTATTTGTTTAAAATTTCCTCACCCGATAGTTTTTTAAAAATTATATGTATATAGATAGATAATATACGAATGTACAGCTTGAAAATAAAGTCGTTGAAGAGTCTCTTCACTGAATATTATGTTCTTAAAATAAAATGCAATTGAAATAGACACCATACGCAAACCACTTGAAATAAGTATAAAATATCTCTTCAGAGATATATTTCATGACAAAGTAGTAGTTATTAGTAGACAAGTAGTAGGTAGAAGTGAAACCTTGCGCTTATGAAAATTTTAGCTTCCTACGCCTCATGAAACAACAAAAAATAACAGATGCATAGTGTTTCCCTAATGGAAAAATATGAATTTAAAAGGGACAGAAATTCACCAAAATTTTTACAACTTCGAACATAACAAGAGCGAATATACCTGCACTAATGACAGATTCTACAAATGTCGATTCTTAACATTACAAAAAACTTTATCCAACATTTGCTAAGTGCATCCCCATGTTCACAACCTTAAAATAAACTTGGTTCACTTTGGGTGTTTTTTCTTTTCGAGCTAAACCTAACTTCCATAAATTATTACGAACTATAAAATCTAAAGTACAAGGAGATCGTTTCGGCAATATATGGTGCTCATCACTGGAAGCCTTGTTTTCTTATATACGGGAATGACTAATGATGTGCAGCAACGTGTTAGAATATATCACTGAATTTTCATGCATGAGCGATTAATTTCGTTAATTTCTGCCCACCGTCCTCAAACAATTCTGGGGCAAAACGGTCCCTTTTTTACTATTTTGTTTAGTCATCGATTTTAATCCTTTACAAGTTCGGTCACTGTTGGGGGACCAGTATCTAAATCCTATTCAGACTAGTTTGGGTGCTGGGCAACGTTAGTGTAGATGCTGGGCAGTAGAACTGTTCTCTCCGAAGTTCCACGGAGGCGGCCTACTTAAATCTTGGGCTACCAAAATTTTCATCCTACATATTGCATCTATTTCCTCGGATTTATTTTATTTTAATCATTCAATTATGTGTCCTAATCGTATTGTTTACTCTCGCGGTTATTTAAAACGTTTTCAGCCGGCTGATTTACTAGTCTCTAACAAGCTTAAGAAAAAGCTTCATGGTGGATGGCAACGAGCTTTAAAGCGTACTCCAATGCATTTGATGACTGTTCCTGTGATTATGAGCACAAATTGCAGATCTCTACCGAACAAGATTAATTACTTGTATTCTCTATTATACTCAAATGTATATTGTAATACTGGTGTAATTAATCTTCAAGAAACTTGGCTCCATGATTCATATGACGATAATTTAGTCTCCTTAAGTGGTTTCACAATGTACAGACAAGACCGATGCAGCTCAAAGAAGAAGAGAGGTGGTGGTGTTGCCATTTTTATTAATTCTCAGTGGTCTACTGCCATCAACGTCTGCTTCAAATTCTCAAATGACAATATTGATTGTATAACTGTCAAATGTCGACCTAAACACTTATCCAAGTATAATTTCATTTTTTTTGTCACAAATATCTATGTCACACCTTGTTGCAGTCCCTCAGAACTATCGATCTTCGCTGGTGAATTCACTACTTTTGCTGCTGTTTCGTTTGGTAACTCCTTGTCTTTAGTGACTGACGACTTCAACTCTTGAGACTATAGTTTTATTACATTGCTGGGTCATGAAAATGTTGTTAACTTCCCAACTCGACAAGATACTTCACTTGATTTAGTGTTTACAAATGATTCTGGAATATACGAAGCTCGTAAAAGAGCTCCGCTCTTTAATTCTGATCACTGTATTGTACGAGTTTTACCCAAAATTTATGGAAAGTTACACAATAAAGCCTTCTCAAACTTGTCCAAGAAAGTTGTTCACAGATGTTACTCAAATGTGAACGTACATCATCTTAGAAACATGCTCAGTGACACAAGATGGGATCTGTTTAATGATGATTCACTTGATGACACTATCTCTAATATTACATCTTATTTGAAATTCTGTTTTGAAATCTGCTGTCCAAAAGAAACACTATTCGTCAAATTCGACCGTTTCTCCTCCCCTCAACTTAAAAAGCTTTGCAGAGAGAAGGAAAAACTACTTAAAATGAAAGATAAAAGTGGTGTAAAAAGAACTAACTTCTTAATCAAGTCTGAAATGCAGAGGTTGAATGTAATATATAATCAGAAATTCATATCCTGCAAAAATGCTTTTAATATGTAGAAACTATTTAAGGAAATCACTGGTGGTAAGCAGACAAACAATATTCCGTATTCTTTTGATGTATGTACTCTTAATAAATCTTTTATTTATTCTCCCTCAAATGCCATGCTTCCCAGCATCCACTAGTGTTAATAATAGCCCCTTCCCAGGTTTTAACACAAATGATGTTCAAAAGTGCCTCAAGTCTCTGAACCCTTCCCAGAGCTTAGGTCCAGATTATGTACCTAGTATTATTTTTTTATATTATTATTATATCCTTTAATTCCTAGAGGAACATAGGGCTTCAGCCGTGCGTCTCCACTGAGTTCGGTTCTCTGCTAGAGTCTTCACCTGGCTCCATGTCTGCCCACACGTTTTCATTTCCTCTTCACATGACCTCCTTCAAGTCACCTTTGGACGACCAACTCGCCGTTTCCCTTTCGGGTTCCACTCAAGGGCTTGTCTAGTGATGTCACCTGATGGTTTTTTTTTAATGTTCTGATATTCTGTGTCACCCTGTCACTGATCTATTTAACAAATCTTTTTCCAGTAATATTGTGCCTGCCGTTCGGAAGGACATTAAAGTTGTACCTATACCTAAATCATCTACTGGAGCATGTGTCAAATTTAGACCCATCGCTATTAATTCTCCTTTCTTGAAAACTATGGAGAAATTACTTTTACTTAGTCTTGTACCTTCGCTTAAATCCTTTAATGACCCTAAACAATTTGCCTAGAAGCACAGTAGAAGCGCTTTAGATGCAGCTGCCGTCTTATATCATAACATTGCTTCCAGTCTAGACAAGAGGGCTAAATTTGTTCGTTGTGCCTTCCTAGACTATACATCTGCTTTTGACTCGGTCCCTAGCGACATCTTGTTAAATAAACTTGCTGCAAGTCAAACAGAATGTTGGGCTGTTAACTATTTACATTCCCATTTCCCAGAAAGAAAGCAGTACACCGTGTATATAGGGAAGTCTTTCACTTCATTGCCTACTGAAGCTGGTGTCCCTCAAGGCGCTGTCCTTTCTCCTTTTCTTTTTTTTCTTCTTACATAACTTGCCTCACTTTGATGAAATAAACTTTGTGAAGTACGCTGATGATTTAACAGTTTCAATGGCTGTTAACTCCCAGCTAGATTGTACCAAAATAAATAGCTTTCTGTCGAGAGTCAGTAAATGGTCTGAGTCTAACGGTCTTAAACTGAATCCTTCTAAATGTCAAACTGTTAATTTCAGTTTAAGATGTAAACGACAGTTGAAAGACGCCGTCGATTCTCATGACAGTTGTAAGATTGATGATAATGATATAGGAATTAAATCAGAAATTAAGTATCTTCGACTTATTCTCTCTTCTGATCTCTCCTGGTCTTCCCATGTGTTAGCGATCTCCAGTAAAATATTCCGCCTGACATTTTACATTAAGAAGTTAAGGCACTGGGGTATAACTGAACCTCTCCTCTTACAGTTCATAAACTCTTGCATCCTACCTATTCTTCTCTATTGTTCACCCTTATTCTTTCCTGGTTTGCTTAAAAAGGACTTTGTCACAATTCGTAGAATGCTGAAGACTGTCAGTAGGATGAGTGGTGTCCCAGTGGACTACATAGTTAACGTCGTTGTCGATAGGCATTTGACTTCGTGCAGTAAATTTGCTAAAGGTATTTTGTCTGACTTGGAGCATCCACTTCACCCTCAGCTTTCACCTTGCATCTCCTCAGGTAGAACAAGAAGTAACTTCAGAAAACTGTATGCTCACACGTCTAAGTATAAAAATTCTATGATACCATACTTGGCACGTATTTTATGTGATGAAAATAGCGTCAGGCAAGAATTGACTAACCTTTTTTTCATCTAGTAAATAAACAATCTCCTCCATACATCCTTACATACCATCAAGTTTTACTTTTATTATTTCTATTATATTTATGGTCCTGTTGCTTCTTTGTTTTTACTTTCATAACTGCAAACACCAACTTATCTCTATGACTGCTGTAATCTTTGTTTTCCACTCAACATATCATGTTGAGAGAACATTATATTCAATATTTTTAAACATGCTAGAATTTCTATACCACATCGACAATACTGTGTGAAACAAGCCCACGGCAATTTCCACTTGTATTATTATTATTACCTTAGCCGTTATCATTATTATTATTATTTCCATTTTATATGCTACATTTTTGGGCATTACCCCTATTGTAAATGTGGAAAATTTTCGGTGTGATTAATTTTATTTATAATTTGAGCAAATTAGATGCAATATTGTGATTAATGCTGAAAATTCCATTGTGTATCACAAGTACTGTTTTCGGAATAAAGTAAATCATTATTATTACTATGTCTAGTCTGAAAGGTGGTCAAAAATACGCCTTTTCAGGAAACATCTTAATAATCACAGGCTTTTGTAAGACCATTTATTGAACAAAACTAAATAGTAAACGGTTATTATCTATTACGAGTACCTCAGTCTCTTTCGCCTTCGACAACCACCGGTGTCTACGGTCGTCAAGAAGACTTTTAGACAGTATATGTTTAAGTAACAATCATCTTTTGTGTTTGAAGCCTGCTGAACTTAGTTTGCTTGCATCACTCAGTTCAGATAAAGTTTTCAGGCCTACGTACTCCTAAGAATCTTTGGTTGAGGATTTTCAACTGTTTTTTTCTGCGACAGATTTGAAAAAAAAAATCAGATAGTTTTAAAATATGTATAGTATGATAGAAGCCGCAAGTAAGATAGTGTTATGATTAAAGTTGATGCTAGTTAGGGAATGGAATTGTAAGAGATGAACACCCTTATGGGATAGTGTGGATGGGATCTGCTAGAGACACTAGTATGCTTTTTCGACTGGTTTAGCACCTATCTTTGAGCAGTAAAACCATCCGTTAGTAACATTGGTATTTGCTTTACCCAGGGAAATTGATAATTCCTGGCAAGACCCATCTCTTAGCCAACAAATGAGTAAGTGACAATTACAAACTGATAACGGTGAGAACACCTTTTTTCTTATTTTGCAGAACCATTTTAGTCGGACAACACAGTGATTTTCAGAGATTAAGAAAGGTGCAAAGAATAAAGAGAAATCGGCATATTAGTTATGGGGAGAGGTAGTGGAGACGGAGTAATGGTTAATAATAAAGTTGACAGCTGGTAAATGGATGGCTTTTGTATATTGGTGGTATGAAGAAAGGTGGCACACCCCATCTATTTAAGGGTGATAAAATTTGCTGAGTCCCGTCTGCATAAGGAACCTTATTACATACCATTAACTGCTGTGAGATACTTCAGTGTCTAACTATTTAGAGACAAATCTTTTCTAACCCCTCCCCTACAAAACCGAAAAGCGGCATAGATGATTAGCTGACCATGCAAGAGAAATACCTTATTGCCCTTCATATGGCATCACCTAAAAACAATACGCCTACGTCCTCAGACCTCCACTGTACTGTAAGACATACCATAATGTTGTCGGTATCTATCCGACCATTATGGAGTGATAGGGCCACCAGAAACAGCTGTTCCAGATAGTATAAATTGTTACATTATCGCGATACTCAGGTCATGTTGAAGTAGCAGTCATCAGTCGGTTCACCACCATATCAAGAAAGTAATATTAGGTATTCTTTGTGTCATATTTCTGCAAATATTGTTAAGTACTGCAGTCAGTTATATAATAGTATCATGACCACTTACCAAGTGTAGAAAAGCGATTTGTCACACCATTTAGGGAGGTGGTATTGAACAAATAAGATTGTGCTGTTTGATCCGAATCCACTCGAGATACGTTTAGTAGTGCTTGATTTCGAGGAAAAGGTGAGTTTTTGGAAGATATAGCAGGGTGGTTACATGAAATAGATTGTGACTGAATCGCTGAACCTATATTGTAATTCGTAGACAAATTTGTGGCACTGTTAAAGGTTGTTGGACTTTGTTGATTGAATACAGCCGAAGTAAGTAACTGGTGTTCGTTAACCCCGACACTACCATCTGTACTACTATGATCATATATCTGACGTGCATCTGAGTATGCTTCACTGCTTGAAATTTTCCAAAGTGCATCCAATTGGTCATTAGATGATGGATCTTGTCCAGGTGAACGAGATTTTTGAAATGAAGTTTCGGAAACTGTGACAGAAGCTTCATTTGCTTGGCGTTGTTGTTCACGAAGGCGTCGTTTTTTACGATAGTAAACCTAAAAATGAAGGACAAGTTGTGAGTGTGACTTCCATTAGATACAAGCAGGGTTTTATCAAGAAACGGGTGTTCTCCACGAACGTAAATAAGTTAAAAATTCAAGTAGCAGTATTTCTCAAAGTCATTATTAATCAGAGTAAACATAATACAAACTAGTTTCTATGCTTTACATTGCACGCTATGTGGCTGACTTTAACAGGTTAACAAGTTTTAGATCAGGGTAAACTTTTTAGCTGAGAACTCAAATTTGTCATTCTCGAAAATACAGGGGCGGGCTGACTACAAACTTAGATAATATCATAAATATTGCATTTTTTCAGTGCAGAATCTTATGTTAAGGATTTCCGTATACCTATTCACATAAAAATGTTGCTTATCAAAAGAGACAGTGAACGATTATTTGTGACACTAACGCCCTACCCCCCTCCACAAACACCTCATACAATATAAGTTAGAGCCAGTTGAGTGATATCCTTTCTTTATATAGTACTACACACTTAACAACACCTTAGTTCTGTTAAACAAAATACTACAAACACAATAATGACCATGCGTCTATAATCCTTCGCCTTCAGTCTGTCTCAATATGCAGTACGAGGTAGCAAACATGAACATTACACACTCGCTCTCTGACAGGTAGTTTAATATGTCACCAACACTGTTAGCAAATGTCAAACAACTATGTCGTATTAGCACACTAATCTGAAATGAATTCAACCGATAGATGTCTATTCGTTTATATATGCCTAGAGTTACATACAGCTCCCAGTTATCACATAACTCAGTATCATATGAACCTTGCCGTACTATAACCTTTTAGTTGATCTATTTCCTAGATTCTTAGTGACTGTGTAATAATCAACTGTATAGTTGAAAATATAGTACTACCATAACAAAACACCATTCTGATAATAAAATCACCACATAACCAAACTATGCAACAAGGAAAACCTTGAAATTACCTCATTTATGTGCTTGTAAGTTTGAATTAAATTCACAGACATTTTTCGTAGAGGTATAGACCAAGGATCACGACGTCTAAGTGAAGAAATAGCACTACGTGCATTCGACTGGATTTGCAGAAGTGATGAGTTTGAATAGACGTCAGCAATTAAGCCCGAATGTGTTGGTGGTTGACGCAAGTGAACAACATCTTGTCCCTTTAACCTAATTATATCCCTATAATTGTTCATTTTGTTAGAGTAATTCTGTGCGGAGTATGCAGATGCAGCCAAAATGGCTGCAGCAGCAGAAGCCCCCATCAGCCTTTGGCGAGCACTGATAGACGGATCTTCTATTGTATAAGACGGTGCCGATGTTCTAGCAATGGAGGAAATTCCTACATCTGAATCACAAGCAACAGAGACAAATTGTCGTCCATCTGAAATAGGTTGATTAGGTGGGCTACACGTTTTCGTCATCGTTGACGCTTGCAAAGGTGGGCTGTTAACAGGATTAGTGCTAGCACTATTTCTTGTACTAGATGAAGCAGTGAGCGGTAATGAAATCTGGTCATCTGCAGCTATTCTAGACAAAGCTGAAGATAGGGAAAGGGATGAGGAAGTTATAACACCCGTATCCAACGGGAGTGTAGTGGGGGACAATGTCGTCGATAAACCAATGAAAGGTGATGGCTCTTCTATAACACGATGATACAACGTGGGATTTATATCACAAGTTTCGTCTTCGCTTAACCACCGGTGACTAGAGAGATTCATGTCATCAGTAGCACTCTCTAAGTCATTCATTTGGAGTTGAGAATAACCTTTAGCTTGAGGTGTTATATATTCCGAATTGAGAAATCTTGAGGGTTGTTCAGATCTTTCTGAAAGCTCAGATGACTGATTACGTAGGTTTGGAGTGAATAATATTTGTCCTCGTGAAAGTGGAGGGGGAGGGGATGGACGATAACGTGTAAAATGAGGGACAGACTCTTCTTTAATAATCCTGTCATCAACTGATGTAAATCCAAATGTGCCGATATCATAATCTCCTGATCCACAATCACCTGGACTACCTTCTTTGTGTTCTTGATTAAACTCTTTCGCTAACAAAGCATCATCTTCATCATCGTAGTAATTATCTAAACACTGTAAAGTTAAATTGCTCATCCGACTCCCAGAACCAACCAATTCTTTATTACCATCGGATTGTTCTTCATTCAAAGCTGGTTGGCTTTGACTGTTTGACTGTGGGATGGAGAGATGACTTGAATTCAAAAGTCCGTGCACTTCATTCATGGAACCATCAGCACTTATATTTAAATTACTGGGACAGAATTCCAAAAAGCAGTTATCCCCAGGTTTACTAAGATTGTCTGTATTGTGCACTATCCCATCATATGATGATGAATTGCTACGAACATGTTGAGTTTCACAAGATTTCGATGGCTGGGTTGGTCCAAGTGTTGTTTTCGTCTGACATAAATGCATCTAATTCCTCCGTCAACCTGTTTATTGACTCCAGCGGCACTATATCATAGTGTGTTTAAGTAAACAACAGGTTCTGAGTACTCATAGATACATCTCAGTGAAATGCAAGCACTGTACTTTGAATGGTATGACGTCAATAAAGTTTAGAAAGCAATGTGTAGCAAATCCGTTTGACATGTCATTGATTAGATCAACTACAAAAAAGCAAAATAAAGAAATGAAATATTTTTGGCAACATCAAAAATATTGAAAATCAGTTTTAGTATCAGTTTTATCGAAGATGAGAATCATGTGAAACAATGCTTTCATGATTTACTTAATGTAAAACTGATGCCCAAATCTCTTGTAAAGAAAGAGAAAGGTTGAATTCACAGTTCGTCTCAGGGGAACATATCTCTAATGATTAAAAGGGTTTACAAACACGTTTTATATTATTGTTATTATTTATTTACGGATTAAAATAGCTTTCTTAAGCATTTGTCACTTGTGATGAGGCCAGTTTATGGACAAAAATTTAAAAATGTTATAAAGTTATACATGAAATAAAGAAAGGGTTATAGCTGTCTTCTGAATTATTCAGTCTGTGACTCATGGGCACAAGCAGACAGTAAAGAATAAGAAGTGGTGTATACAGAAGAGTAGAGTTAAAATCAGTGAAACATAAAAAGTTGTAATTTCCAATTATCACTTCATTTGCATGATTTTGAGTAAGTCAGGACATATTACATTTGTAACAGCTTGTGTAAGGAGATACAAACTCACAAAGAATTTCTACGAACAAAACAATTCCAACAGTGATGTGAACACTGGCAGTAATTTGGCTCGAAATATTACCAATAACAAAACTTATCAGTGTGTAAACTATTGAAATATAATTATACTTTATTTGTTCTATTCCACAATGCTCAAATGTTTTACTGACATTAAGTTCTACTCGTGTATACTAACAATACTGAACACAATTAACGTCAGCTATTTATCGTATTCTGTCTTTACCATCTGATTTCTTTACGTGCAGCAAAAGTACCATCTACATAATTTAGTATTCGTTAGCAGTAGGGGGGCTGACCATGGGGCTCTGTCCAAATTAAGAACTACTATTACTCCATCAGAGCAAATTTGGAGGCATCATGTAGCATCACTAAGGAAACCCGTTTGCAAGGACACTGGAACTCTTTGAAAGTGAGGCTGAAGGAAGAAGAGGCACGATGAAGAATGGTTCTGCACGGAAAGTAGAAGCTAACAGGAGAGGGGTGGTAAAACAGGAGATGAACAGCGAAAGGAGATGCGTTCAATCTACAACACACTGAACAAAGTGAAGAGTGCCAGGAAAAACAAAAGACATCTACCACCCACTGGTGACTGAAGCAGGAGGGGGCACAGTTAATAGAGGCCTCAGATATAACTAGGCGGTTGTCGGGGAAGACAGCACAGATAAAACCAATGAAAGATGGTCAAGGGGACTTAATTACCAAAGAGCAGAGACAAGGAAAACAATGGGCTGATCACTTCAAAGGATTCCTGAACTGACCACCACCTGCAACACGTCTAGAAGTACCCCCAACAGTCATAATACTGTCAGCGAACACCAATTCTCTAATAAAACCAGAAGTCGAATGCCAAAAAGCTGCTGAAAGCCGGAAAGGCAGCCAGATCAGACAGAATTCCTCTGGAAGCACTGGAGACGGATCCAGAGACCTCAGCGGGTATCCTCACACCACCACTGCAAAGTTTAGGCGAAAGGGAAGGTACCTACTGATTAAAAAAAGCTACCGTGTCAAACTACTAAAGGGTGACCTAAACCTTTGAGAAAACTGTAGCGGGACCACCCTCCTGTCCAGGCTAATCAAACCATTAAATCGCGTCATTCTAGAGCAACTTAAAGATGCTCTAGATACAAAACTCTGCCCGGAACAAGCTGGATTCTGGAAAGATGAATAATGTACAGATCAAATCGCAATGCTCCACGTCATCATCGGAGAGAGTAAAGAATGGCAGTCAAATCTCTACCTCAACTTCACAAACTTTGAAAACGCCTTCAACAGCGTTGGCTGCGAAGTAAATTGGAAACCGCTTAAACACTACAGAATGCCCCAAATCTTTATCAGCTTCATTCAACAGCTATATGATGCTGTATGCGTCTTACATAGCCTCTCCTGAGGAAGTCCTACTCACTGCCTTCACGTGGCGGAGGTGTTTCTCACCAAAGTGAGAGGGTGAAAGCGGATGCCCGGCGCTCTTCACCGGGTTGACTGTCCATTGGATGACAGTCTAGGGGAGATGGCTAAACCTTGATTCCAAACCTCCAACGGCTGGCGTATGAAGCTCACTGGAGCTCACCGGCAGACGTATGGACAAAGGGCTTGTTGGATGTCCTGGATATCTGGCCCCATTCAAAAAGGCGTATGAACCGAACTCCGGTCATCGGCTGCCAATGGATAGTGGACTCCCTACTCAACTCCTACTGCCTTGTAGGTCACACTTGGTTGTGTAAAGGCTAGAGCTGCACTCTCAAACAAAAGGCCGAGCGATTCTGGGGACATCACTCATGCCAAATTCCCATGAAACTTCATGAACTCTCTTCATCAGATCGCCACGCCTGGGCAGCGATGATTCGAGATGTTCATGAAGCCGGGTCATCCTCCCGTAGGAGATAGCCGAAGTAAAGTAAGTATGCTAAATAACTCACAACGAAAAGATCAGTAAAACCTTTGAAGTAAAGACAGGAGTGAGACAAGACTAAAGTCCCCGGTGATATTCCTGACTGTGGCGTACTGGACCAAGCAACTACTTCTCACCTCTACATACGTAAGTAGTGTTGGTAATGTGATGAACTCACAAAATTATTTTTTTCACTTAATATGTTCTCAATTTTTTCAAATATTACATAATGTTCCGAACTAATAATGATAAGGTAGTTCACAGTCTGTCAAGGTTGAAGGGGTGAGAGTAAGGACACTAAGTTAAAAGCTAAAATAATTACAAAGTAATAGAGTGCAGAACGATTCTCAAATCGACAGAGATGTACAGTAATTAATTTGAAATTTTCAGGAATTGGAAGATAACAAGAATGAATACATCTGCATGAATGAAAGCCATTTCACTAGGAGTCTACAAGTACTGACTTTTAACATAACAAAGACTATCCAAAAAGCGTAAACCTCATTACATGGGTCACTGAGAATTCACTATCTCCTACACCCACTTACATTCCTTACATGATACTAAGTTTAAAACTGATATCATTCATCAGCACGGGAGTGAAGATATTCACGGATAGACTTCAATCTTCACACTCCTAATTTCAACGACCATCTTTCGCAGCCCTCAACTGTGACAGAATGAATTGTTGCGTGAAAGTTTTCGCCATCTCACAGAATTATATTGTCTAAGCGAAGTAGCTTTTTCTTCGGGTATCAAGTCAACTTCTAAGATAGAACTAAACGCAGCTATCCCCAGTAGTGCATCGGATGTAGATTAGGTAAGTGAAAAATGTTGAAAGACAGCTAGTTGTATTTACAGTCCTTAATAAAATCGGTAAGGTATTATTCATTGGTGAAATGGTTAGAGTGCATTTTATTTACAGAGTAACGAAGTGATTGACGAAGATCAAGCTAACATTTCGTACAAAAGGACGTTATTTTGCGTCGTTGCGTGACATAACGCTGTAAGCGGCAGTAACACTGAAAAGACTACCATCAAGTTAACAAAGGATGACTAGAGAGGAGAACTGCACAAGTGCTAAAGATTATACGGTCTAATCGGGTGATAAAGTACTTTTGCATTAGAGTCTACATCAGATAGCCATAAATGTCAACCTGGAAATACTGTGTACCAACTTACGCTCCTACAAGGTAAATTGGTAAAGAGATAGAAGAAAACCCGAAGAAAGTAGACGGGAGTTATTAAGATGAGAAATAAGTAAAATCAAGAGCATACACTGTAGAAAAACGTGAGGCGTGGACGTTAATTCGAGTCACTGTGCAATCTTTAGTCGTGAGTTTTGAGCAGTACTGAAGGAAATAACAGAAAGGCTGGACGATTTCTATATCAATTAAGTGGCTTACACTTGTGGACCTTCCTCCATTATTACAGTATAGACCAAACCGTTATATTTTACAGTACAAAAGAAATGAGCAGAACAAAAATGGATTGAGATTGTCGAGAACATGTACGAGAGAAGGAAAAACAGTAACTAAGGTTAGCACACATGTTTAGAATTTCAACAATATGTGGTAATTAAGCATGAGACACTAAGGGATTCCTGACTACAAGCACTGGGGCTTTTAACCACTGACTGGTCATACGATGAGAGCCCCAACAAGGAAGCTCATGTTCCTCCACGCACTACCAAATTTCAATTCACATATCAAGGAAGGGCGCTACTCTACCACGAGGTTGGTTAAAGTGATGCAAATCACTGGTTGAAAATGTCAAAAACGATGAAAACCTATTCAGTGGCCCCACAAGTGTCATCTTAATTTCGTTATATTATTTGTCGAAAATTTATCTTTGCCATTCTCGACACTGATCCCCTGGTATACTAATTTCCACTGCGATTCATACTACTTTGGTGATAAAAACGTCTAGAAACATTCGATTTTAACTGTCGCTATACAAAGAATGATACTGGGGGTTTATACGCAATTCTTTATCGTTAATGTCCACCACCACTAACTTAGACCCTGGGGAGGTGATTCACTGGTAGAATTATTGCCAGCCACGCAAGCAGTTCGGTTTCAGTTGTCGGCCGACGCACTCCTGAACCTCGCGTATTCGGCAGTGAGCCCCGCAGAGGTTGGGTGTGAAACTAGTAACCTCGTAGAAAAAACACCATTGTTACTGACTGAAGCCCTGTGTCTCACTCGGAATTCAAAGGAGTAAAAAAGACCATGGGAATTAGAAGGGAACAAGTGAATACAACTCACTGTGATTATTCAAGTATACTAACGGTCTTGCTACTGTGGTCAACAACTAAAACTAGTCATAAGACCGTATGGGTGAGGATCCTTAGACTGACGTCACTAGACAAAAGTCTCAGCGAGAAGTGACAAGTTTTCTGGTTTATTACAATTATTACTGAAGAGTAGATTCTTACGACGATTGATCGTCATCTACTCGCCTGAGTAGAAAAGACGAAGAAACTGGTAAGCAAGCGTGGAGACTGAGTACCAGTATAAGACTAAAAAATTGATGTTTACAATTAATACTTATGATCGCGTTCTTAAAACAGATACCACGTACAGAATATTTAGCAGTACGAAAGGAATTAGTTAGCTATCCAAGCTGATTAAAGTTTGCTGACATAGTAAGTGTTTTTACGCTGCAATCGAAATAAGTTGTCAGTCGGAAACTCACTAGTTACAACTGTCATCGGTATAATATTCTGCGTGAGAAAATGCCTTTAGGTTAGACGTGATCTTAGATATAAAGTTGCGTAACAACTTGAGCTGCCAGATGTTTCACAGCACACTCATTAGAGCAGTAATTTCATTAAAAGTAATAAGAATTTACATGGTATTGGAAAGGCAATATTAATTAGTAGCTGAGTAATACGATAACGAGAACCCAAGACACCAAAAAATAACCTACTAGACTGTAAAGTAAAATGTGCGCGTAAACCACAGAGCGGCCATTGGAACAAAAAGGACAGTTGCAGGAGTTAAGGTCACACAACTGCAGAAAACTTACTTCTAAGAACGCTTCTCAGCTGAATCAACCCTGTTATTAACACCAAGAAAATTTAAGTTAGTTTCTTTTCAATACTCCTCCATCATGTACCTATTTTAAATGTTCAGAGCCAATATAAGTCCCAGTCATTAGGGTGTATTTCCTAGGAGGAAACCCTTTTCAGGATTTGAGCAAAGGCATATATCATGCCTTCTTTGAGAGTTAATTTTAGAGTATAAATAATATGCGGCAATAATTAATCCCCTGAAAATTATTGACCTACACCTTCAATCATTCAGCATTGGGTACTGACCTTTACTGTTTAAGTTAACTGGTTAATCTGGTGTGCAGTCAAGTATCTGGCATGCCGTCATGTTACGTTGTTCATGCAAGACCTCCAATTAAACAAGCACGAGTCAAAGCTCCACGTTTTAGATCTCATTCTCGGGGGATTCCTTAAGGTCTAGTTAAGCTATGTTTCGTCGAAAAGCATGCTTTCATGAAGTCGTACGGCACCACGCTTAATGACTTCGAAAGTTGCTGCTGATGGCGCAATCCTAACCACACAACTTTTTTGCAGCCCCTCTGAGAATACCGATAGGACAAATCTCGATTCGCCCACTAAGGAAGACTATGGAAGCCTTCGCAAATGTCAGCTTGCCAACTTACTTGTGGTACCTGCAAGCCTATCATTTGAGGAGTACGACACTACAGTCGGCGGAGTCAAACACCGTCCAGTAGGTGGCCAATGGCAGAAACCTGCTTGTGCCTCGAGGGGACTGGATGCTACGGAAACGAAGGACAGTACCATTGTCAGAGAACTTCTGGCTATGTATAGTGATGTACGTCAATTTCGACATTCAGTGGGAAGTCACGAACTCACTGTTTCACATGGCATTAAATGCTCTGAATCCAATACCGTGCAGATATTCACTAAAGAAGTGACGCTAGTTGGACCAGATTTCACAGTTTCTCTCAACTGTCCGCCTAGTAGCTGACTCAGACACCTTGTCGAGCACCTCTTTTAGAAGCTGGCTCGTCTTCAGAAAGAAGAGAGTGAGATTCAGCGCCAAATTTAAGACCATTTGGCGAAGGTAAGAAGACTATGCTATCCATAAGTACTAGGCCATGGGCATCCCGAAATTCCTTTTAATGTTCGGAGTGACATATCCTGGTGTGTGAAATTCGAAGCGTATGCACTGCTGGCTTTACTCACGAAACAATGAATACTCCACCGAGGTTTTCAAAAATCATGAAGAACATAACCACGATGGGCAGAGAAGTTATAATGTCTCTGCCGTCTACCACCAAAGACCTAGTCTGCCAAAGTGAAAACGGTCTTCAGCTACATTACTAAGGTTGAATAGGTACCCCGTCGATTGTTATACCTTTTTTTAACAAATTCCAATCAAATTAGGTCCCGGTCTGTGCGGCTGGTACAATGGGTTTATGTTAATAGCCTTAAGTGGAAATATATTCCAGAGTTCTTGAAAGGTTATGTTTATGATCAGTGAAGTTAGTAAGTTTGTGATGGGAATATGAACTAGGAGGGTGATATCGTGGGTATATTGGTGGTCTTTACAGAGCGCGTTTTGTGTCGAATTGAAATTGTATCATCCGCCGTAGTCTTCGATACATCTTATTATTTGGGACTTCGCTTCACTTTGCTCAAATGTCTCTGAACATATGCATTACCGTTTTTAGTCCTTTTAATGTCTCGCTCAGCTAAAATGTGTACAGGGGTAAATGCAGAGTTAGCTCCAGTGTGGTAGAACAAATGCAGTTAGTACTCATTGTTTCCTTATTTTCTACTCATTCTCTTATCATTTTGTAGGGGGTCAAAAATACACATCGGCTCAACTGAACCTCAGCCATTTCGCATTCAGTGACCAGTTTGTTTACCTCTACTGATCGAATCACATTGCAGACACTTGACCTTTTCAGGGAAATGAACTTGTGTGCTGCGTTGTGGAGTGTCTGTACATTCCTATATTCTCTCTACACTGTTGTTAATAAATGCATCTTTGAACAGCTGTGAGGCTTATATTCTCACTTGTCCAGTTGGGGTTATGTGTAGAGTAGCCCGGATACCATATGAGGTGAGCTAGGCTAAAGAGTAAGCAGTTAGTGTGACCGAAGTTCGGGTGCAGCAAGATAGATAGCCACACAACAATCACGAGCGTTATTTACAGTTGAAGCCTATCAGGAACGAGCTTGAAGCCGTCCAGGCTTACTGACTGAGAG